AATTTAAAATGGGCTGTTTTTGCAGCTTAGTTTACATATACGGACTGTATGAACTCGGGAGTCAATGGCATGTTTTGAAACTTTAACTCTGTTTGCATATTACCTTAATCTCATGTTTCAAAAAAACAAGAAAAAATTAATTTTCCATGATGTGGGTCTTTCAGTCTCAACTCAGTGCCACCTTAAAATGAGCTGGGGCTTCTGGTGAATCACAGCTGAGTGACTTAGCATTAGCACGGTTCAGCGCTTCCCTGCTCCAGCACCTGAGTCGACTCATTACGAGCTCGCTAATTAGCTGAAGCAGGTGCGTTTTCGCAGGGAAAACAAACTTTTTGCCGTGGCTCTCCAGGGCTGGAGTTTTACACTTCCAGGGGATACACTGCTCTATTTTTGGACCTGCAACTAGCTTTAGCTCAGGTTAAGGTGGCATTGAGTTGAGTTGCTATGCGTCAAACTCCATTCTGCCTTAAAATTAGCCATGATGCAGTTCAGTGAATGCAGTGTTGCAGTGCACTAGGGCTGAGTGACATGGCTTAAAATGTTTGCATACATTTTGCTAAGCATTTCACATAGATAATTATTGATATCTGTCATATGCATTTACTAGCACTCAAATTCTGAATAGCTTGGCCCAAATAACACGACTGTCATTTTTTCAGCATGTTCTAGTTACTACACTTTTCCCATTGCAGCTTTACGAGAAGCCTGGCCACTTCCTATTTCCCCCGTTATATGAAAAACAGGACTGCAAAACGTCAGAGAGCACCTGCGAGCGAGTCCTCAATAAATCAGAGTAAATGGAGCTAAACAGCTCAAGTAGTTTCTAATGACTTGCCCAGAACTTTCTCTTTTAGAAAGTTTTAGAAAGTAAAAGGATGTATTTCACTAAAAAAGCAAAGAAAACTCAGCGGTATGTTTCGATTTTTCTACAGCAAACGGGTTTTTGGCAGCAGGACGCTAAAATTACTACTACTGAGTGCTGATTAGTTGGTGAGCAGAGCAACTCATTGGCTGTTCGCACTCACTGACATCATGGACGTGTATGAGGCACCGTTTTAAACTCCTATAACTCGAGTTAAAAAGCTCTTAAAAATATAACAGCGGTGTTAAAATGTTTTATGCTGTTCTGTGTTCAGGAAATGAATTAATTATTTTACATTAAAAATGTTTAAGCATTTATAAACTATGATTTTGCTCAAATGCTCCATATTAACCCGTTCAGACTCACTCAGGAACACCCTCTAGTGTTTGAGAAACCCGGAAAACATTACAGAGTGGTGATTCTCTTCTCTGCAAGTTCTCTGGTTTTACCGGCAAGCAGACTGGCTCTTTTTCTTAAAGGGCAGGACTTCCCCTATAAACTGACCCCCTAAATGTCTCAAAATCAAAATGCTTTACCCATAATCAGCAAGTTTCTGTCTTTAATATTCATAACTAACCAGAGATGCAGCAGTGCCCTGGTGGAAAAAATACAGCACAGACCGGCATGCATGGTGTTTTATGCTGGTCTGGTGCTAGTTCAGCTGGTCACTGAGCACGGTCATGCTGCAGCATACCAGCATCCAAAACACAACATATGCTGGTCTTTGCTGGTTTCTTAACAAGATGGTCTGCCTCAGGCTGGCACTGTAGCACACTGGTTCTCCCTGTTGAGCCTTCATAGCCTAGCAACTGTAACTATGCTCAGGATACCTCTGAAAAACCTTACAGTATGACATAGCATATTTTTAAATCTAAAAACTTGCCCAATTTCACAAGAGACTGCTGGAAAGAGTGAATTGTTCCTCATTTCTTAAACCAGAGACAAAAATGTGTAAGATCTCAGTTAAAGTGAGGAAGATCGCATCACCAAACCAGAACAGAGCATTTCCAGAAGAACTGTTGAGCCATTTTGGTGCTAATGAAGCTAGCATCAGCGCTGCTAAGGCGAGTGAGTTAGCACCGAGCCAGCGCTGGACTCCCCAAACACCAAGGAGTACTTTGCACATTGATAACATCTCTGCTAATACTAATACAAAAACCTGTAATTTTACTTCTGTATTTTAATACAAATTCATGCTATAATCCAATGATATAAAGTAAAGTGAGGACAATACAGCCTAAAACTCTATAGATGCTAGCTGCTAAGGCTACCTGCCTCAATGTTTTGGCCAGGGTGCCTAAATCTTTTGTCTTTGTGGGCCAAAATTGCATATCTTTGGTGGGCCGAGGACCAAAGAGACAAAACAGCTAACTAGCAATTTGTTAGCCTTGCGTTTTCACATGTTGCAAGTTTACATGTGTGTTCTTCAAATACTCCAGTGGTTTCCTTAAACATCTATGATCTCTAAATATCCTCTTATCCGTGTTCCACTGCTGCCTGTTACACTGAATTAGCTTGTAAATGCTAGCTACACACATACTGTCACATTTGGGTTGCATTCAGGGACACACGTGGTGTCAAAGGTCATAGATTTTAGAGATTTCTTTGTATAATACTTCAAAACAAAATACTTCAAAACTAACGTTTTCAAAGGAAATTAACAAGAATAAAAATACATTAAAAAATGCAGTTTGCGCACTCCGGCTCAGATTTCATATTATTGTGAATTTTCTAACTGAGAATAAGTTAACACACCCTCTACAGAGAACACACTTCTGCACATTTTGATGCTCAATTACTATTTATTTGCTGAATTTATCATACTGGGAAAAACTGTTATACACATGTGGACTGTGCAAAAGTTGACCTTTTATATTTCATGCTTTATTTTTTTCCAAATATGTTCCTCTCAGCAAATAGAAGTTGTGCTCTAAAATTGATGTGTCAACTTATTTTTACTTAGAAAATTAGGGTGTGTTCAAACCTTGTAGTAGGTGTTCTCATTGGCTGAGGAAGTCGAGGGGTCAGGCAACTTCCTTACAGACCAACTTTGGCCCACGAGCCACACTTCACTGATTAATTTTGCGTTACTGACCATCTAGAGTGCGAGGAACAGCATCATTTTACTTAAAAAAAAAAATAAATTAATAATAATTTATGATTAGTTTTACTGTTGTATCACCAAGGCCTACTGTAGCCTACATCACTTTGACCCCAACCAATAAAGACACCCTCATTGACTCTGAATGCACATTTAGGTTAGTAATGAAAGAACCCCACAGGCTGAATCTGAACTAGCTCGCTATTTAACATAACATACGACGTGGCGCAAAAGCAAATAGTTCATGCTTATGTATGTGTACTATAAAGAGAGAAATTATAGATTCAGCAAGTCTCCACAGCATCAAGGCTCTGAGAATTAGCGGATGGGTTCTAGCGGCCAGCATGACATTACAGTGGTTCTTCTTGACTGGAGTTTGATGTAAATCAACTGTGATATAAATGTAATCAGCGCATCCTCTTGAACTCGGAGCATATTTAAGTAAGGAACATGTGAGAGTCCAGAGTCTCCAGAGCGTCTGGTTTTCTCTATCTGGCATGCCAGAGTGGTAAAGGAGGCCAGTGGGCCGGGCAGTGCGTGTGCGTGTGTGTATATACACACATTCGCGTGGGTAGATTTTACTGGAGCAACCACAGTTCCCATGGGAACGGACAGAGTTAGCGCTGCAGCAGATGCATCATTAAGCTTCACGTTAGCCTTAACACCAACTCAGCAGCAGCTGGAAGCCTCTGCATTCAGTACATTGTCACTGTCACGCAAAAACCTTCATTTAAAAAAAATAAAATAAATAAAAACTTTTTTGTTGTTTTTACTTTTTGCATAATTAAAAAAAAAAAAACTCGTTATCCTTTGCATTGTCTTCAAACTTTATGATGAACGGACCAACAGACATGATCCAAAATTACTTGGAAAAATGATGTTTAACTCTATAGTATTATTATTATTATAAATTAATAATACTTTTTTCTTCCCCTTTAAAGTTGCCATTTTGGAGACAACGTTTTTCTTCTCAACTGCGATGATATGCAAGTTTATCAAAGGCAAAATTTACTCCTCTTGCCTTGTCAGCCAAGACGTGTTTGGTGTCTGAAGTTTGCTTCTGTTTTTTACTTCACTGTTTCCCAGCTAAAAGATACAAGGTGAAGGAAGTTATGCTGTTAGACTAAGCTAGTAATGTTAGCTCAGGTATCAGAAGTTTGTCTGTTTTCCTTAAAGATTTAGACTGACTTCAGTGTTTGCTTCAAGCCACATGTGATCTAGTATGAATTTTGTGGGTTTAATATAGTATAATACAGTAATAATGTAATTAGTTTGCTAACAAGCTAGGTAAGCAGTGTTTGCTAAAAGGTTACCTACAGTGGAATATGCCACTGGCTGAATGAAAAACTAAAAACCAAGTGAAATCTGCCAATAACTGAGTGGAATAAGACAAAATCAAGTGAAATCCACCAGTAACTGAGTGAAATATGCCAAAATCAAGTGAAATCCACCAGTAACTGAGTGAAATATGCCAAAATCGAGTGAAATCCACCTGTAACTGAGAGAAATGTTCCAGAAAACAAGCAAAATCTGCAAATAACGGAGTGAAATAAGCCACAAACTAAGTGAAATCCACCAACAGCCAAAAAAACATGCTAGTACTCAAGTTAATTCAATGAATCTTAAATACATCAGTAACAGAGTTAAACCTGCAGTGGCTGAGTGGAATAATTCATTTGTAAACTCTATAAGGGCTTCAAATTACTTGAGCATCTCTACATTTCTTCACTTTACATGTTTAATTCAGAGCACACAGGCTGAGCCCTACTGAATATAATCTGATCAATGCAGTGAAAAATGACTCAAATGGCTGAAATGCTAATCCCTAAGAAATGCAGAGAAAACGTTTTTTGTTCTCTTTTTTCAAAATACATGAAATCAGATAACGTCTTCATCCCAATTTAAGACATCAGACTTTGCTGTTTACATGACCACTTGAATAATCTGATAACTGTCCAAATCAGATAATGGTCGTATTATTGGTATGACTGAAAACACATCAAGTTAATCAAGTCAAAAATTCACAATGTTTCTGAACATGTTTAAAAATAATTTATTTATTCAATCTTTTTTTTTTTCTCAGCTATTTCAATCTTGCAAACAGAGGGACAATCTGGGCTCCAGAGGGACGAGGAGGGAATCTGTGCAGCTTTTATCCTTTTAAAGCCCCAATCAAACTGCTATTACAGCTCAGAGCACAACAACGGAAGCTTTCATACAGCACATTCAGACACAGAAATGTAGGTAAACCGTGAGATAGTCCTGTGGTGGCTGATTAAGCAGCTCCTGATTGAGGCTGTAACACTTCATTACTACACACAGAGAGGGGTGTGGGTTGTGGGTGTGGCTCTAGGGAAGTTCTAATCATTCACGGTTCTCATTTAAATGTACATTTACTGACCTCGGTAGAAAACATGTATAGAACGCTTCCATACAAACGACAGGTAGAGGTTTTTCCCCTTTAGCAGACAGTGAACAGTACTGAATTGACCGAGTCCACACTGTGGCTGCAGTGCCACCATCAGGCCTGGAAGCAGAACAGCAGCTCTGAGAGAGTTCAAGGCCAATGTGGAGGGACGGCAGGTTGGAACCAGCCAGCGTTTGAGTTTTAGTCTTCATGGATGTTGAACAGCTTAGCCACCTCGTTCAGATCAGCGTGCTCCTCTCCATCTTTAATGATCTAGAAAAAAAGCACAAACAAACCAGATCTGAATGTGCAGAGGTTTTAAAAGACTAAAGCTAAATTACGTTAACTGTAATATTGGGATGGCTGAAGGGTAGATAAAAGACTGGAGCAACAATAATGTGGTCAGAAAGATGAATATGTTACAGATTTATTGCTACTTGAATAGCTGTGTTTTAAACAAATATCACTGAGTAAACCAAAAAACAAAATATATTATACTATTATGAATAAGAAAGTAAAATACAGAGAATTCAATGTATGTTTACTGTGTACAGCCAGCATTACAGGTAATCCATACCTGATGGATCGAGTGATTTGGTGATTTATCTGTGTGAATTTGGCTAATTCAGTGATTTATCTTTCTGTTTTGGATAGATTTAGTGATAATCAGGGCACTTTAGTGATTTATCTTTATGTTTTAAGCTAATTAAGTGACTGATCTTTACGTTTTGGGTAGACTTGGTGATATATTTTTGGGTTTTAGGCCAATTTAGTGTTTTATCTTTGAGTTTTAGGCTAATTTAGTGATTTATTCCAAGTTTTCGGCAGGCTTAGCGTTTGGGTAGATTTAGTGATATAGGTTTGGGTTTTAGGCCAATTTAGCGTTTTATTGAGTTTGGGTAGATTTAGTGATTTATCTTCATGTTTTGAGTAGAAATAGAGATTTATCTTGGAGTTTTGGGTAGATTTAGTGATTTATCTATGTGTTTTGGGCTTATTTAGTTTTTGTGTTTTAGGCTGATTTAGTGATTAACCTTTGCATTTTAAGTCAACTTAATGATTTATGTTTGTATTTTAGGTTTAGGTATTTAGTGATTTATTTTTGAATGCACCCTTATGTTTCAGATTAAAACAGTTTTATCTCTGTCTTAGATGGATTTCATGATGTATCTGTACTTTCTGTGATTTAGAACACACTATCAGCTGACCTACAGAAGCATGTCTCAACTTTACTCTGCACAAATTTGTCATCTTTCTATTTGAAACACTTTCATATACAGCTCTGCTTAGATGTGTCCATTTGGCTTAGACAGAAAATCAGCTGCTTGTGTGTTTAAAAATCATAACACACTCGATTTTATTTATTTATTCCAAACTCCACATGCTGTAACTGACAGATTTAACAGATCTAACAGATTTAGTTAACAGACACTGGGATTGGATGTCTGTGTACTCACATATCCACACCCACCCCTGATGTATGTATGGCAAAATATATGGTTACAATAACAATCTACTGTATGACACCCAGACAGTCTATAACAAACAGAACGTATGAATGAATGGGTAAATGGATCATATAGACAGATGTGGATGTGAACAGGTGATGAACAGGTGATGAACAGGTGATGAACAGGTGATGAACAGGTGACGGAGTCACTGGATGGAAGGATGGATGGAAAGGAGTGAATGATAGACAGAGCGTATGCATGTTTACCTTCCTGGCGATGGGCATTCTGTTGAAGACGTTCCACAACACGATGCCCACCACCACTTTATCCCTCAGGTAGAAAATCACTCCCTTCCCGTAATCCTCCTTCGGCGGTGGGGGAGGGGCAGGGACCGCCGTTCCCACAGCAATTGGCCCGGCAACCGCCTCTGTCTCACTCTCCGACCGGATACCCGTACCTCAACACACACCACAAAGATCAAAATCAGTAACAGAGAGTGTGTGCGTGTGCGTGTGTGTGCGTGTGTGTGTTAAGGCTGAATGATGATATCTAAAGATATTTCCGGGCTATACAAGATTAAGATGATTTTTCTGGGTTTTAAATGCTGCTACTGTTCAGCGAAACAGCAGTGATGCATTTTAAAAGAGCCAAGAAAAACTAAGCACAATTATATTCATAATTTATTTGATTTTTCAACAGTGGCAATATTTTATGGATTTATTTCATTCAGGAATGAAGAGGACGGAAAATAAAATCAAATTAATAAAATAAGATTGTCTTAACAGGCTGACATCCAATCAGCTACTTATTACTAAAGCCATAAGCCACAAGAAGCTGTGCATTACAGTGATTTTACCACATGTAAGTGTCAGGTTATCTGGCATGACACGAAGTGGAGAATAATCACCTTACCAGACAAATAAACCGAACATAAATTACAATTATAACACACAATTTTTCAGATAATTTAAGAATAAATTTTGGAATAAACAAGTATTCCACCAAAAAAGCTAACAGCATATTGTCCCTCTTGTTTTGTTGTCCCACATCCATACTAGACAAATTGTGCACTGTTTGAGTGCAATAGTCAGAATTTCATAACTTATATAGCACATTATGTAGGCAGCAGGGAGCCGTTTGAGATTCAGCCTGTGTTTAATGCTGCCCAAGGCAGATCTGACTAAAACACAAACATTTGAAGTGGGTAAGACATTAAAGCGGCGTTCTTCTGTGTTAAATTTAAAGTTTTACAGTGAATCATACAGTGGGTACTTTAATTCAAGCCTGTGATCTTAATGATGGAGCTGTTTACCATGTTCGCTAAACTTTTATCCCGTCAGCCAGCTGACCAGCCAAGTTGTAGTTAAGAAAATAAGTCATCAGCTCATCGGTTTAAGGGACCAGAACCAGTTTCATGGATAACCTCCATGGTTGCTGTGAGCAGCATTAGAATAAAAGATTTTTCATTAACAGCACAAGGATTTTACCGGACTTAACGCAGTAATACAGAATTCAGCTGTCTGTGATTGATTTAAATCTTTTTATGATCCACGCAGTTGTTAAGTATTCTAAAAGGTACTGATTGTACACATCATATACTATGAAAGTGACCTATGACGTAACTCATAATGATAATAGTAACAACATAAACATCACCTTAGAGCTGGGCGATATGGCCAAAAACGTTATCACGATAAACAAAATTCATATCATTCGATATCGATACATATCGCGATAAATGTCAAATCATGATTTCTTTCACGTTTGAAGGCTGATTTTGCTCCTGGGTGGTTAACTGTGGTTTTAAACTATCACTTATGGTCCGATCATGACAAACACTCGGCAAACAGTGGAACATTTCACTAATCTGCCATGGAAGAGTCGGAGAAAGTTTCTGAGCTGTTTTTATCAGCTGGAAAAGCACAGCTGCAATTTTTGTAACAGTCATGATTTAAGAAAGAAAACAGATTATTTTTAGCTGTCTGGTGACGAGCGCTCGGCTACCCTGTTACAAATGCTAAACAAGTGGCCAACAACAGTGCTAAACTCTTTAGTTTCTCAACAACGTCAACTCAGTTCGGTAGGTCACTGCGGTCACTCCTACCACATCCATGTCGGAGCAGATCACAGTATGCAGACACCAGCTAGACGGCTGGGTTTCTCCATGCTATCGTAGTAGTTTAAGGGGTGAACCGCAGTATATCTGACGCTCGCTGTGTAAAAGCATCATCTGCAGTGTGAATCTCTCACACCAGACACAGAGTCCTCCTTTTAGGCATGTTTAAACTGAAAGCGGTGATTTTGTGTCTTGTTTGATCTACAGTATCATCAGTTCACCGTGTTTTGCCAGAGCGCTGCTTCAAGTTAGCCAGCAGCTAAAAACAGCTGGCCTGGAAAGACAGCGCTCTCCCGCTCTCCAATGCCTCACAGCTTCCTCAGTTTACTTTCAAACATAAACCCACTTCTTTCTTTCACTTTCGTTGCTCGAGAATGCACTAATACTAAAATATAACGGTTTGGCGCTGTAACACGGCGCTGTAGACGTGATTTAACACCACTAAAGTTGTTAGGATGCACGGAAAGAGGTGAGTTCACCGTAGGACAGTACAGTTACACCACTGATCTCGTCACTCACACTCAGTCACAGGAGAACAGATCGCCGATAACATCCACTCAGACAGGGACTGTATAACTCCGCGTTTCAGCCGTTGCTAAAGTATATTTGGCGACCCTTTTTTACTCGTGGCCCCCCTCCCTCTCTAATCAAGTCGAAAAATTCGGAAGTGCGCCCTCTCCTGGCGACAGCAGAGTAGTGTTGCTTTCCTTGCAGTAGAAAGCGCCACCAGGGCTTTCGCTAAAACGTGGAAGTGTGAGAATGGTGTATTATATCGAACATTTATCGAACCTGTCTTATCGCTCTATCGAGGAAAAGTTATATTGCGATACTTATCGTTATCGTTTTATCGCCCAGCCCTACATCACCTTAATGTGTGTTCACTGATCCTGTACATGTTCATGTATTTAATTTTACTCCAAAGCTAAATAATTTCCTTTATTATTAAACTTGACTCAGGCGCCCTAAAAATGTGTGTCCAAATACTTTGTGGTGCATATTTGTGCGTGTACCTGATTGCTCGGTCGCTGCTTTGGGTGTGTCCTTGGCAGTAGCTTTGGCGAACACTCCTACAGTTGGCAGACTACTGTCAACTATTCCAATAGCCTCATATCCCACATCAGGACCAAGATCACTCCTACACACATGGACAGATACATTTCAATGTATTAAAGTGACCGTTCAGCTAAAAATCTAGTTTACTTCATCCCCCCCCTCATCCCAGTTGTAGGTGATCAGCCAAAGCATGTTTGGTATCCGACGTTCGCTTCTTTAGTTTTGCAAGTCAGCTAACAAGTAATGAAAGTTTAGGTACACCAATTAGCCTAGTGCTAAGGGCATGCTTAAATCATTGCACTCCTATCTCAAACCATGGGGGGTTGTAAAGTAATCTCATGAAGACTTGCTCATTCACTTTTGTCCACAAGAAGTAAATTTCAGACACCAAACACGTTTTGGCTGATGAACTACATTTGGGGGAAAATTAAAGTAAATCAGATTTTTTTTTCTCCAAACTACTGCATTACAAAACAGCATAAGCACTCAATAATGACTGGAAAAGCCAGTTAGCCAAAGTGAGTCACTCTCTCAGCGCTGCTTGAATAAATGTAAAGTAAAACCAGGACTGGAGTTTTAGATCGAGGATTGAGGCATAGAATGCTCATGCAAACAAAAGAAAAAGGAAGAAAAAAGCTTGATAAATTCTACTGATCAATTTCTTGGCTGTTTTGGATAATTATTACCAAATTGATAAGTTGATCAATCGATTCCAGCCCCAAATAATTATGCTGTGAAGCTTTGGGGAACTGCAGCACTGTCACTGAAAATATGCACTATTCTGTAAAGCTCTTTCAGAAAAACAACACTATCGCTCTACATCTGGACTGTTTTGGTCAAGTGATAAGACAAGCTCATGTTTGTGCCTAAGGCTCGCTCGTGGTGTGTTTGTGGACATGTGCATGATTGAAGATGGTCTACTATCACGCACACTACAGTCTACGACACACAAATCCCTAAAACAGCCCAAAACACAATCATGTCAATGCAGTGCGAGTGCTAGTGCGTACCAGAACATGGACTGGTGCCAGTAGGGTTTGCTGGCCCCGGTCATGTTTTCGCCGGCCAGTCTGCCGCTGACTACTGCATGATCGTGATGCTCCACCCTCCTCCGGCCCAGCTTGATGTCATAGAAACAAGCTGCATCTCCTGCCTGTGCACACAGCGTCAAAGATACAGGGTCACAACACTGAACAATTCAGCATATTCCTTCTTTAATCTACTCATGTTTTCAATACGTATGTTTTCATGGGTAACATTACGGATGAGCAAGGGTGCTCTGATTAAGTACATCATACTCTGGTGCAACAAATCACAAGTACAAGAATGTAAGTGAGTTGTCAAGGATGTGTTCTTAATGATGTGACTGAGGAGGCAGAGTAAGGCCTAATCCCAACTCTTATTTTTTACCCCTACCACTTGTTTTCGAGTGTCACCTTGCCTCTTGGACCTGAGTTATAAGGGTTAGTAGTTGAAATCTTCCTCTATGAAATGGGACCCTCAAATAAAAAGAGCATTACTTCATTAACAGCTACTAGCGCTGCTCTGTAGGTGACCCTGCCAGTCTGCAGTGACAGCAGAGGAGGGTAAAGTTCAGCTCCTCACTGCTGGGCTTTAGTTATATTTAGGCATCATACTCCTTCAAAGAGGGGGGCAATTATTTATTATCACCCACCCCTAATTCTTCAGTGATATGAAGCTGAAGTCAGATATTCGCCAGCTTCTTGTTTCAATTTTCCTGTTCCACCTTAAATGGAACAGCAGTTCTCACGCCTGAGGCACCAGAATGTAACTGCTGCACTACTTAAGGTGGAATGGAAAAAAAGACATCAGCTACTACTAGCAATTTTTTATGCTTGTTATGAAGAAAAGGAGCATAATACACTGAAATGACATTAAACTAAGATAAAACAATGATTATCGTGATTTTTTTAACAGAGAAAATTCTCACGTTTGTGAGTTTCTTTGGTCTCTTGTTCAGCCATCTTACTGTTTTTTCTTTTTTTCCTCATAAGACTCTGTTTGGAGTCTGAAAAACCTCTGTTTGGAGGGCCATGTAGCTCTAACACTTCACCCTACCCCTCTATCTCAACAACAATCAGAACACCCTACTAGATGATGTGCAAAAGGGAGGGGTAAGGGCTGAGTGGTAGGGGCAAGGGGTGAAATGGAATTGGGCCTTAGGGTGGCTCGCTTTATTGCTGACCACGAGGATCGTGATGTTTCTGGAAAGCTGCTTTTGAAACAATGTCTGTTGTAAAAAAGCACTTTGCTAATAAAACTGAACTGAACTGGGTTAATGGGCTTTTCTGGTGTAGTTTAGCAGGAAAACACTGATCTCCACAGGGCAGCGGACCCTCAGCACTTTGAGGAACATGACGAATGTGCTGTATGCAGATTGGTGGGAAACGCTGTGAGTCACACTCACCACCCAGATGTTGGAGCGTGCCTGCAGCTCAGCGTTGACCCGAAATCCCCCGAAATCAGAGTCGATCTCCAGCCCGGCCGATTTGGCCAGCTCAACACTGGGCTCCAAACCCACTGCTGCCACGATGTGGTCCGTCTTCACCTACAGCAACAACACAGAGGCACAAATACAGATATTTGATAAGACACTATACACACATACACAATCAATGTACTAGTACTTCTTGTAAATGGCAAAGTGAACTGGAAAGTGACCAACAGATATGAGATACATATTTGAAGCATTTTTACAGGCTGGCCATTCAGGACAGAGTAGTTTTTGTGCTGCTCATCACGATGAAGAGAAAACGTGATTTATCATGCAGCCCTGTATTAAAGAGATTCTTTTGGTACAATGAAAGCATAAACTCAGTTTACGCAGCAAGTTGCTCTCAGAAAGGCATCAGCGTTTTAACAATTTTTTGCCATCTGCACTTTTTTAAAAATAGGATTTGATTATACTTAAATTAAAACAAAGACTTAACATTCCTTCACCGCATGCAGCTGGTGTAAGAAGCGATTTATACCTAATGGCTGGGTTGATTTAGTGATTCATCTTTGTGGTTTAGGTGAGCGATTTAAGACTACAGGTTGATGTACAGAGCAATAAACACATCTGTCCAAATTTAACACCTTTTAGATTAAAATATATCTATATATTAAGTGCATTCATTTAGTAATATCAGCTGCTTACGTCACCACATTCTCTGCAGTTCTAAGTCAACAATATATGTAGAAACCGCAAGAAATGACACAATTGATTTGATATGAATACCTGAGAAAGCAAACTGAGAGTTCAGAATAGTGATGCAACAAAATGCAAACTGCAACTGAAATTCAAGATGCACTCAGGAAAAAGCGGAAAATAAAAATGGTTTACTTGAAATAATCATACTAAAATGATTACAGTATGCAGGGTACAGTGTGTGCTATGAAACCCAACGTCCTCGACAACAGAGAATGGTTGATCATCCAAGACAATAATATCCATTATTATTTTCATTATTCTTTACTATTTTGTGTTTATTTCATCTTTTCAAAAAGTCAAGCTTCAACATTTCTTTCTGCTTCTGATGTTTTTCTGTATTGTGCACATCAAGCAGGACGGCGTGTTTCCAAACCAGTAGTGAAGTTTTGGGTGTTGCACCTCCTCCTGATACTCGACATGAACAGAGATTATAAATGAAACAGATACACAGCTGACCTGTTCACTCTGCTGCAGTTCAAACTGTTAAAACTGACCGCCGCAGGAGAGTGAAGGGAACAAACAACTATTTTTAATCAGTTTCTCATATTTACTACCATTAAAATTAAAGCCTTAAATTTCGACACTTTGTTGTAGACGTATTTAATCTGTTTCATCTGACAAAATTTCCGTCCCTTTTTCTCGAAGAAGAAAAGCAAAAATGCCATTTTTGACCGACCCGCCAAAAAAATTTAGTGACCAATATTTCAGTGTATTCCAAGTTCAGATATCTGTATTTTAGAATAAACACTTAGAATAACCCATATCTGTACACTCACCATTCGGCCGTCCTTCAGCTTAATCTCCAGTTTTCCGTCCTTATAGCTGACGTTCTTCACCACAGCCTCCGTCAGCACCTCCACGCCCTCTGCCAGAGGTCAAAAGGTCAGGAAAGTCAGTTCAGGTCAGCTGTTGTCACTGAGACGACTATAAACTTCTAAAGCAGCAAAAAACTTAAACACATATTCAGGAAAATTAAACTGTGCTGGCAAACCTAATACTGAACTAACTTATACGAAATTATACTATGTGCTGAATTACATTATGCGTTTCTCACCTTTCTTGACTTTCTCTGTGGTCCAGTTGCTCAGGTATTCAGGTAGAACCTTTCCCATGTTCCCTTTCTCTGGAAACATCTGGACCACCTCCAGGCCCAGATCAGCAGCTGCAGAGGAAAAGAGACGAAGAGAGATTCAGCTGCTTTAGAGCAAGTCTTTGTACTGGAATCTCTCAGAAACCTCAAAATAAATTTGAGTGTATGAAATGGATTATTTGAGTGTCACGTAAATTTTTAATAACGAAGCACAATTACTTCTGTCAGGAAATGCCTAAAGGGGTACAAACAAATATACTTAAACACTTTTCAAGTTCACCAGTACATTAAAATGACACTCCGGCCAAAATGAAAAATGTATCAATACATGTGTTGCAAACTTGTGTCCTCTCATCGTATTGTGTGATTTTCTGGATTGAAAGACGAAAAAAACCTTCTGATGACGCATCTTAAAGACGGGAAGAACTTCTAATTTAAATCAAAATCTGCAACTGCTTAAGCGTGTAAAATAAATATTTTTTGTCTGAATTCAGAAGGAAGACATATAGTGAATGTCACTGGTAAGAAGCTGAACATCTCACTGCAGCTGTAAAACTATAGTAACTGTCTTCAAATCATCGTTACAGTGGAGAGACTGGATCACTCAAACGATAGAAACGGCTCATCAGAGAACAAGAGGCTAAAAGCTAAAGTTAGCGTGTTACTACCTGATTATCCAAATATCTTACCTCAGTTTGGCTTCTTTTGTCTGTCTGAAAAGGTAAAAACCTCTCTCTAGTGTCTATTCTGTGCTGAATAAAGAGAGAACTGCGTTTGTTTTCTTTATAATTTCGTCTGAAGGCCGAGGTCAGAGTTACACTAATGCTAGCTTGGGTGCATTTATTAGTATCTCCTCCTTATTTTAACATAATCACTACATTTTGTGATTATGGCAAAACTATCTTGTAGGAGAACGGCATTACTGTTTCAGCCAAATCAAAGAACATGTGTTTACTGCTTAAAGGGGAATCCCACCAATTTTCCAAAATGTAACGTAATGTAATATAATGTAAACAAAGTCATTCAGAGTGGTTTGATGTGAAATGCACAATTCCAGAGAAACTTGTTGAGTCAGAATTGCTCACAGTGGTGGTGATAGGAACCAGACATCTCAGGAGTTGAACACCTCTGAAAGCTCCCTGACAGAAAGCTTTTAGATGAAATTGTTATGAATACACTGCATTCTTAAAAAATGGTTCTTCAAGGGTTCAATTTAGAGCCATGAACCATTTCATGCCTTAATCTTCGCATGGCTTTGAAATGGTTCTTCAGATTGATGGAGAATGTGTTATGTATGGTTCTATATAAAACCTTTTTGAAAATGGTTCTACAGAGCACCAAAACAGGTTCCTCTAGTACCATGTCAAGCTTATTACAACAGAAGAACACTTTTTCAAAAAGGTTCTATACAGAACCGTTTAGAACGCACTCTCCATTCAGGATTGGCTGACATCACAGGGATTCCCAATGAATGTATGATATATTTGCACAATGCATGCTGGGTGTTGTAGTGTGAGATTGATAATGAATGAAAACATGAAAATAATATAAAATTATAGAATTCTGCCAAACCAGTGAGGCTGGATATTGTGTGGTGCTGCAAAATACTGCATAACCAGGTAATTAAACTTATTAAACTCCACTTTTTGGCCAGAATGTCCCTTTAACAAACTTCTTTAAACCGTCTCTGACTTCTGGAAGCTGGCACACTTCCACACATCTTAAAAAACGCCTCTAAACAAGCGTCTTAGCCTCCCTCCTCACTGCGTTAATGAGGGACACCCACAGTGACTAATCTTTGTCTTGTTTTTTTCTTTTTTGTAAAGCGGAGATCCGGGTGCATTGACCTGATTCCAGTCGTTTGACTGACAGCACAGTGATGGTGTTTGGACTCACATCTTCTGCCCAAGGCGCAGGCCAGTTCACTGCCCAGAAAGCCTCCCCCGATGATGGTGATGGACTTCAGCTCGCGTGATACTTTCTCCAGCGCCTTGAAATCCTCAATCTGTGCAAAACAGGAGGAGAAAAAAGTGCAGTAATGTAATATACAAATTACAAAGGGCTGCAAACATATCACACTGTGATGGGCAGAAAAAGAAAACAAGAAAATGAGAGTCGGTGTTGGTGTTGGACGCTTTGATGCCTTAGTCACTTGTGAAAGAAGGGAGGAAAATAAATAAATAAATAAATAAATAAAGTTGTCAGAGCTCATACAGTGGCATGCGGCTCGTATGGGAGATGAGAGAGACAGTGCCTTCTAGAGGTTATAATAAACACACACAGTGCAAATCAGCTCTGAGTATTAACAGTGAGCTTAATAACAGAAAGCATAACAGTCGTATGCAAAGTTTGGGCGCCCCTGGTCAAATGACATGGTTGTCCTCTACAGAAAACACGTCTGCTCACTCTAAAGAGCAATTACTGTTTATTTGCTGAGTTTAACATATTGGGGGGAAAATTAAAATAAAAATGTGGCCTGTACTTATAATTTTCCAATACATTAAATCCAGTAAATAAATTGTGTACTACAATGTGCAGTGTGTTCACTATAAAGGATGTGTTGAATGGAATTGAATTCAGAACCATCAGCCAACTGTGTTTCACACAGAGGAATTAGACCTCCGCATTTAACCCATCCGTGCAGTGAAACACCCACATACATGCACACTAGTGAACACACACACTAGGGGGCAGTGAGCACACTTGCCCGTAGTGGTGGGCAGCCCTATCCACGGCGCCCGGGGAGCAGTTGGGGGTCAGGTGCCTTGCTCAAGGGCACTTCAGTCACGTACTGTCGGCCGAGGGGATCAAAGACCTTCCGGTCGCAAGGCTAGTTCCCGAACCTTCAGCCCATGACTGCCCCCACTTATTTCACTTAGTTCACTTATTTACACTCAGAAAATCAACATACAACTGTACATATGTAACTACTAATGTGACTATCAATTAATTGGTTCTTTACAACTTTAATTAATTGATTAATCAAGAAAAAGTGCAGTCATTAGTCCCTCAGTAATTCATTTGTTCACAATGTCTTATTCAACAAATTAAAAATACAAGGATTATTCTCCCTTTTGTAGAACAATTTTTCAAACAAAACACCTACCCTATCTCCTAAATCATATTTGCAAAAAAGCTCTTTTATAATAATAATTATTATTATTATTATTATTATTATAACAACAACAACAACAATAATTTTTTATTTACATAGCAGTTTTCATGCTGGTGGCAGCTCAAAGTGCTTTACACTTTGCAGAAGGTCAGTATCTGCAGATCTAAGATCATGTGCTGAAACATAAACAGGCAGACACTCTGTGATGTAAGCGGTGCTTTAAGGTCACTTAGAGCTTTAAAAACTGGTAGCAGAGCTTTAAAATCTATCCTGAATAATACAGACAGCCAGTGCAGCTCTTTTAAAGTGGGACTGACCTGATCTCTCTGTTTTGTTTTTGTTAGGATGCTGCCGCATTTTGTACAAGTTGTAAAGAATGTATAGTTTTCTTACGAAGTCCAGTAAGAAGATCATTACAGTGATCAACTCTGCTGTAACAAATGCATGAACAAGTTTCTCTGAGTCTCTCTGAGAGAGAAAAGGCCAAACTTTAGCGACATTTCTCACGTGATTAAAGCTACCTTAGTGACTGTGTTTACATGCAGATAAAACAGAGCTGAGAGTCTAAGATCACACCCAGGTGTCCTACTTCAGGTTTGGTTTATGAAGCTGAAGAACCAAGTTTCTCATAAATCATTTTTCTCTGAGTTTCTGTACCAACGATCAATATTTCGTTTTTTTCATGAGTTAATTGTAGAAAATTTTGCAACATCCACTGAGAAATATCTGACACACGGCTGGTTAGTCTGTCTACAGAGTCTTGAAACACCCTCCGTATTATGCTAAACAGAAATATTATAGCTACTTACATTTATTTATGTACATTTAGGTGTAACTTTTTTAGGAACCTTATACTGTTATTCGAATTATTTCTGTGCTAACGATAAAGCAAAGATTAATAAATTGGTTGTGGTTGGTAACATTATGTAATCTGATATTACAGTGCACACACAAGCAGTCCAGTCATCAGCCATATCAGACACACAGTGGGAGGCCAAAACATGGAGGAAAAATATGTTTTCTAAAAATATCTGTATCCATTTGGATGAGAGAGTCATTGTACATTAGGACACAAACACCAAAGTATCGAATAAGTGCAACCAGGCAGTTTAGACAACAATGCAGCTCATCTCTTCAGCCGAATGTGTTTGTTTTGCTAAATGTTAATAACGTTGATTAGTTGCTACAGCCCCACTGAAAAACTGTAGGCCAGGCGCCGGCAATTTGGGGCCCTTTAACTGCCCTGTTGTGGCTCCACAGCAGAATCATTAGTAGGTAAAAATAAAATAATCCTCCTTTACAGTAAAATAAAGCTCTGCTGATCGTTCAACACAGTTTAACAATAAATGGTCTTAAACTCTGGAGTTAATGTAGAACTGCTAATTCACCCTTTAACTCTGAAGGTTGGCACACAGACTGCTGGTCACCATAGCAATGCAGGTAACAGTCTCGCCTAGCTAGTAGCTAAAGAAAAGGACACAGAGAGAGATTTAAGACGAACATCGATAATTCAGAGACGAATGGACTTATTTGTGTTTATAATCACTCCAGATGGTTTCCTGATACATTTAATCTGCAACAAGAAACTGTGAAACATTACAAAGTCGTGAAGCTAAATCAGTTTCTCATTTGCCAGCTTCTCATTTGAATTTTCCCGTTGCACCTTAAATGGTGCAGCAGTTACATTCTGGCACCTCAGGTATCATTTAAGGTGGAATGGGAAAATTCAAACAAGAAGATGGCGAATTAGAAGCAACTTCAGCCTCGTAAAAAGTCGAACATTGAGAGACATTTTACAAGAAACTGTTCTACTTTTGTGGAAAAGTTTCCTGCTGGAGATGTGAGAAAAGCAGCTATAGCTGAGCTAAAGCTTAAAGCAGAGCAAAGTAAGTCTGTGTTTCCGTTTATGCTATATTTTTTAGCCTATACTAGAACATTAACACGTAATGAGACATATTTACAGCCAAGATGGTAAAATGGACATAAAATGTGGTGGCTCCCAAGGTGGTTTGATTATTGTTAAAAGGACAAAATGGTTCTTCTCAACGTTTGGGTTGTGACCCCTGGGGTGGGCAAACAGACAATATGCCATGTAGTATTGATTAATTGCACAACCATATGTCTTCCTCAAGAAAAAAAATGAACAACTTCATGGATCATAAAAGGACAGGTTTTGAGTAATCGGAATACTGTGAGAATATCAAAACTTGTATCATACTGACTCATGGGCTGAGTTTGTTCTTACACCTGTATTCTCTATTATTACTTCTAGTTCAGACTGACGACTGTGTGCTTCAATGCAGTGTGGTTAATGTGTGTGTGTGTGTGTGTGTGTGTGTGTGTGTGTGTGTGTGTGTGTGTGTGTGTTATGTACCTTTCTGAACAGCGTTGTTCTCTTCGTAACGTCCTCACTGGCTCTCTCAATGACCTGAAGATTCCTCGGGATGCCACCTGTCTCACACAGCCCAAGTGTTTGTAAATATACATATACATATTTATACATACAATATATGGCCAAAAGTTTATGGACCCCTGCTTATCCAATGATTCTTCCAAAATCAAGATAATTAGTGTCAGCAGTGAGTGACCTTAATGCATCTTAATTTACTAACAAGAAGGAGGTCCACAAACTTTTGCAGACACAGTGTACATACATCACTGTCAGAACAAAACCTTTTTTGTTTTATATATTTAAAACAGACTTTAAAAAAATGCCAACTTCCCTTTACACTGTGAAAATGTCATGATCAATGGAACAACAGTCAAAATGACTCAACGGAAAAAATCTTGTTTCATTAACTTCCACTCAAATTTTTTTTTACCTCTCTTGTAACGTTACTACTGTGGAGAAGGTTTTTAATCCGAGATTTATCTACATATACATGCTGTCGGAGCAAAATCTTGTGTCTCCATTTTCGTCTTTTGTAGTAATTTAAAAATAGAAGCTGTTGTGCCAAAATGTCAATGACAAACAGACGAACAGAAAAGGTACAGAATGATTTAGACTAAAATCGTTAACTGCTATTGAAAGTTAGGACTTGCCAGTAAATGTACTTCTTTGGAGAGAAAAGTCTTTGCTCTTACATATATTTCAATATATATGGCACTAAAAATAATTTAGCACAATTAATTGCGTCACTTTGTGATATTCTTCTATTACTATTGATCACATTTGTCGTAATCACTCAAATTTGACCCTAATTACATTTTTTTTCCATTTATTAAGCAGTGCGTTTTGTAAAAGCTATATGATAGATGAGATCAACATATTCATGGCATGATAGTAGCTGGAAATATCTTTGGTTTTATGAGGAGTGCTTTTCACTCACAGTTTAAAAGCTGTATTAGAATGAGATGACTACAGTAGCAGAGTCACAGAAACACCACGTGACCAGATGGGATTCAAAATTGTGGTGTTAAGTCATTAATAATTCATTATTATTAACAGTTTAACTTTGACACCACTAACAAATACATATACGTGTCTGTGGGCTTTTCTTTTTACCTGTGGCGATGAGGCACTTGTCGTAGGAGATCTCTGCACCGTCACTCAGCTTAACCTTATTACCCCTGACATCCATATGCACCACCTAGAGAACAAACACAAACACACACAGTAATCTACATATCCCCACACAGCATTTCTGCTGAGTTTAATACTTTTCAGACTTTATCCGAAGGGTCAGATCCTGGCCTGAGGGAACAGAAGCAGCAAACTGAAAAAGTGCTATAGTCAGCGCTTTCACCTTCTTGCCGGTCAGCACAGCCACGCCTCCATTCTCCACTGACTCCAGCTCCATGGGACTCACATAGAACGAGGAAGGCTGGAAATAAATACTAAAAAACAAACACAACAGACACGCATTACTACTTAAAAACCTCTTCAACATTCATAGCTCTCATCTCTTTATGTATAGATACTCATGAATGATTTAGTCGAGAATCATGAACAGGACATGACACATGCTATGTCAATGCACGTATTCGCAAACATCGGTATGATGTATACAAGGCAAATGCATTATGGAGAACTTAATTAGAGACTTAGTGCCACCTATTTACATCCGATGACTGACATTAATTAATTTTTAAACATCATTATATTGTAATGTATGAATGCTGTACTGCTGGCTGGTGATGCTAAATTGTGTCACACTGACCCAAATTCTGTGACTAGATTACTCAGCTCATAGCACTGAATCCCCCCCTAAGCATTTTACAGCTCCACAAGCTTAAAAAAAGAACCTAAAAAAATAGAGATGTGAAAAATCAATGTGACTGCTGCAGAAACTTCCCTTGCACTGAACTGAGCATAAACAGTTAGAAATTGTTAAAAAATGCTGATCTTCACCTTCCCACTCTGCAAATAACAGAAATGTGTTCTAATTTGTTTTTAAGTGAAATTAACCTTCAGTAATTTAAAAATAAAATAATTTATACTGTATTATTACTAGTCAACACACTCCAAATTATAAACTTGCTTTTTCAGATTATAAGGACATTTAATTCAAACAAACCTCCTCTCCTTGCCATTCCACTGTTTGAAGCGCAGCGTTTCTGTGACGGCGGGATCATCAGAGAACCAAAGCTCTTTAGAGAGAGGAGGCCTCATGTACGGCAGGTCTGCTTCATCGGTCACTATCAACACCTGCAGATAAAGCAAAACCCGACATTCCAAACGTATTTTGTCTAAAAGTAGATCTACAAAAAGGTTCAAATGCAAAAGAGTGGAGTTCCACAAGGCTCTACTCTTGGCCCTCAACAGTTCCTATAATTATACATGGCATCGATCGGTACAATAAATGGTGGAACCTGTATAAATTGCTTTTCAGGTACTTTTGACTATAGACCATAACCGCCTTGACTGAGCCTTCTCAGCCGTCTCACTTTATTAATCCACTATAGTCCCCTATAGATTCTCTACAGAAAATCAAATTGATAACAATCTGTTAAAACTCAGGTGATTCTAAACAGTGGTAGGGTTAGGGTTAGGATTCAGACCAGGGTGAGGGTTGGGTTTAGGTTTTGGGTTGAGGTTAAGGTTAGGATTAGATCCAGGTTTAGGAGTTAGGAAGTTACGGTTAATTAAGTAGATATTTAGTTGAATGTAACTTGAAAGTAAATGAAGTATCTACAAAGCATCTAAAGGGGATCACCCAAACAAAGTGTTACCGAGCCAATTTATTATAAATCAAATGTAGTTAAGTTTTGTTTATTAATGAACAGTGAACTTGAGAGAGCTGCTCACCCTGGCACCCGGGTCACGGGCACGAATGGATCTAGCAGCTGCAAAAGATGCTGTGCCTCCACCAATCAGGAGGTATGGGGCGTGTGCAGGGACCTCAGAGACGGCAGGCGTGGGTTCTACGGGTGCAGCCGTGGAAGCAGGGGCAGGTTCAGAAGCTAAAAAGTTCAACAAAGAAAGTTTCAGAGGGTATACTAGCACACAGCTGGTCAGGTGACTTTACGTAAGGACGCAGGTTGTGTTGTCTGAAACAACAATCATTTGTCTCATCAATATCAGCCATCTCTGCAACAGAAAGATGTGTGGGGGGAAAAAAGGGATGTCACTTCAGGAAAACAGGAATTCGGGAAGAGTCCTAGAAATCCCATGTGTGAGTTCATAGCGTTAACAGTTACCTTTACAATTATCACACATTTCATTAAAAGAGAACTTAAACCAAAAAGTACCAAACCAGGTGTGAGCGCTTAAAATTAGCTTTAGCATTACACGTCACACTTGTATGCCAAAATAAGCTGAAAAGGAAAAAAATTAGAATATACTGGCACAGGGGTTGGAGCAAAATAGGATAGGACAGGTTACAAGACCAACAGAAACTGTGAGATAGTAAAAAAAAGTAAATAAAAACATGAATAGCCCAATAGAGAATGTATAGTGGTGCATGAAAGTTTGTGACCCTTTAAGAATTTTCTAGATTTCTGCATAAATTTGACTTAAAACTTCAACAGATTTTCACACAAGTCCTAATAGTAGATAAAGAGAACCAAATTAAACAAATGAGACAAAATATTAGACTCTGTCATTTATTGAGGAAAATGATCCAATATTAATATCTGTGAGTGGCAAAAGTCTGTGAGCCTTTTCTTTCAATATCTGGTGTGACCCCCATGTGCAGCAACAGCTGCAACTAAACGTTTCTGGTAACCTGATTAGCCCTGCAGATCAGCTTGGTGGAGTTTTAGCACTCCATACAAAGCAGCTTCAACTTTGTAATGTTGAGGGGTTTCCTCCCATGAACTGCTGCTTCAGGTCCTTCCACAACATTTTATAGGATTAAGGTCAGGACTTTGACTTGGCCATTCAAAAACATTAACTTTATTCTTCTTTAAGCGTTCTTTGGTAGAACGACTTGTGTGCTTAGGATCGTTCTTTTGCTTAATGACCCACATTCTCTTAAGTTTCAGCTCATGGACAGATGTCCTGACATTTTCCTTTAGAATTCGCTGGTATAATTCAGAGTTGTTTAATCAATGGAAAGCCATCCTGGCCCAGATGCAACAAAACGGGCCCAAACCATGATACTACCACCACCATGTTTCACAGAAGGGATAAGGTTTTTATGCTGGATTGCAGTGTTTTCCTTTCTCCAAACATAACCCTACTCACCTAAACCAAAACATTGTTCCAATAGCCTTCTGGCTTGTCCATGAGATCTTAAGCAAACTACAGATGGGCAGCAATGTTCTTTTTGGAGAGCAGCGGCTTCTCCTTGCAAACCTGCCATGCACACCATTGTTTTTCAGTGTTGTCCGGATGGTGAACTCATGAACTTTAACATTAACCACTGTGAGGAAGATCTTTAGTTGCTTAGAAGTTACCCTGGGTTCCTTTGTGGGTTCCTATTACACGCCTTGCTCTTTGTGTGATCTTTGTTGGTCAACCACTCCTGGGGAGTGTAACGAGGGTCTTGAATTTCCTCCATTTGTACACAATTTGTCTGACTGAATTGGTGGAGTCCAAACTCTTTAGAGATGGTTTTGTAACCTTTTCCAGCCTGATTAGCATCAACAACTCTTCTTCTGAGGTCCTCAGAAATCTCCTTTGTTCGTACAATGATACACTTCCACAAACGTGTTGTGAAGGATCCCCTGTTCTTTAAATAAAACAGGTTGGTCACTCACACCTGATTGCCACCCCACTGATTAAAAAAACACCTGACCCTAATTTCACCTTCAAATTACCTGCTAATCCTAAAGGTTCACATACTTTCGGCACTCACAGATCTGTAATAATGGATCATTTTCCTCAATAAATAAATGGTCGAGTCTAATATTTTTTGTCTCATTTGACTAATTTGGTTGGTTTAATTTGTTGTAAAAATCTGATGAAGTTTTAGGTCAAATTTATACAGGAATACAGAAAATTCTAAAGGGTTCACAAATTTTCAAGCACCACTGTATGTTGCAATTCCACTTTGAACACCCAATAAAATGTGAAGCTAAAAATTCATTAAACCAGAGAAAGAAAGTTAAAAGAAACTGTGTGGTAAAAGAAGTGTGTGGTAAAGCATTAGCGGTATCCTTATCGGTATGTGTAAACATCATGTCAGTTCCCAACCAGTTGAAACCGGACTCTTACCACTGTCGGTTACAGGTGGAGTCTCAGGCACGCTTTCTACCACGGCTGCAGGAGGAGGTTCTGTTGATTTCCCCCCAACGCAAAAGCACAGGGAAATGATTAACCACAATGCAAGTAAAAAAATGAACAAAACGAGGTCCTTCATTTGATCTAAAATATATATACACATTGTCGGGTCTCCATGCAGATGGATCAGGCTTACCAGCAGATACTGCTTCAGCTACAAGTGCTTCAGTTACAGGAGCTTCTGCAACAAGAGGTTCCGTTACAGGGGTTTCTGGGACCACTTCGGGCTCAGGCGCTTTCGGGGCCACTTCGGGCTCAGGCGCTTCCGGGGCCACTTCAGGGCTCAGGCGCTTCCAAAACCATTTCGGGCTCAGGCGCTTCTGGGACCACTTCGGGCTCGGGCGATTCCAGGACCACTTCAGGCACCATTGCTCCAGGAGCTGCTTCAGGTATGTGTGCTTCCGGGACCACTTCAGGTGCAGCTCCTTCCAGAGCTGTTTCAGGTGCGGCCGTTACGTCTTCCACAACAGGTTCTGTTATGCATGGCTCAGAAACAGGGGGTTCTGGGACAGGTTCTGGAGCAGAAGCTTCTGTGATAGTTTCAGGGACGGGATCTAGATCAGGAGCCTCTTGGACAGGTTCGGCTTCTGGAGGTTCCAAGACAGCTTCGGAAATGGGTTCTAATTCCACACATGGAGCATACACAAGAAAGACTGAGTGATTTACTGGGGAGCAGCATCAAAATACCACTTCTCTGTAGGTTTACTAGCACTTATCTAACAGTGCTGGTATACTAGATACTTCAGGGACAGATATCGGGACTGCTGCAGGTAGCAGCTTGACTAGGGATACAAATTCCGTGAGATAGATATATATATAATGTGTGTAAAAGAAATTATGTTTTGTTACAAATCTTAAAACGGTGAGCTGGACAAGCAACATCCTACAGTCTCAGAAGAGGTTCATCCATATGATGTACAACTGGAATAGTCTACAATTTGGAATTGGTGGAAGATTTTGTGTATTTTTTATTGAAGAATGACAGATATTGGTGAGTGGCTGATGGCATCTTGTTCTTCATGAATTCTTGAAACTCTCTCGAATGAGCAGTTCTTCAGATGACGAGACAACAATTTCTTCAATTTCATGAAGTGACTTAGCATGACAGGAACTGGTATCTTCATACCAACAAATGTCTTCATAATCAGTAACTATCTACTGTCTTGGAGCTCATTTCTTTTTCCTTTATTGACTGTTGGACTACAACAAATCACTTTTACAGTCCAGGGCATCTATCACAATGATGTAGAAACCAATGAATCTTCTATGGTATATTTTTCTCTTACCACTCTCAGCAAGGGCAGATGTAACAGGTTCTTCAATAGTTCCTAGGTGTGTGGGTTCCAAGGGTAGAATCATCTGTTAGCACTTATCAAGACATCCAACAACAGGATTGTGAACAACCTCCAAACAATTCTTGTTCCAGTATTTGAAATCTTCACTTGAGTGTCCACGTAGAGGACAATACACAAGGCCCAGACCAATCCTATGGCCTAAAAGGTTTAAAACCAGCTGACAAGCTTTAAAAAAATACGAACAACCAAATCGTAGCAGACCAGACAAGTCCAAAACTACATGAAGACAAAAATACATTTCCAGAGAACATTCTGTGGTTAGTGAGAGACGAGAGAAAGGAAAGACATTTCTGTGTGGTGTTATTCACAACACAAACTTTCATCAAGAAAAGTTTGACTGTGTGAAAGACAATGTGTGACGGAAAGGACGGAAGGAGAGAATCCATGTCAAGAGGAGAGGAGAACCAAGGCTAGTCTAAGGACAACAAGGAATCTTCGGGGAACGTCACCTCAGACCAACCTTTACGATGGATATGGACAAATCTGTGAGCCTTACCACTTTCCAAAACATACTTTTACATTTGAACATTTGTCAAAACACAAAGAAAGAAAATAAACTTTTAATTAAATAAGAATACAAACTCAATGGTTGGGTGAGGTGCATCGATGGAGATGTGGAAGGCCAAAAAACGTCACAACAACAAATGTTTACATTTTTACAACAAAGGTTAAAAATGAACAGCAGACAGAAGACACTGCACAAAAGATGAAGGCGTATAGACGATGAATAGCAAGATGCGGAATTCAGCATGCAGACGGAAAAGTGATCGCCACATGCGACATGCAGTGCCCTCTGAAGCGTGCACGTTTGAAAGCACTGGGAGATTGGATACAGAAAAGCTTCTACCAGTCTTAAATTCTAAAACAACCCAACAGTGGTTCATTAATGAGGAATGTTTGGTGGGCAGAGTTTAGTGGGGTGGGACAAAGGCCAAGTCTCAAATCACTCACTCATTTCCTAAACAGCAGCATATGTAATACTGAGCTCGCTAGGAAATACCAAGCGTTTGAGTCAGGGCCATTGTGGATTGTGCATCTATATAACCTGATGGTACTTCTGCTGCAAGCTCTACAGTCTCATTAGGGGGCGCTGGTTCCTCTACCACAGGCGGAATGGCACTCTCCGCATCTCCTGCACCCTGATCAGTAAGTTCTTCATGATGAAAGATCACACTCATAGTTAAAATGACAAGACGTAAGATAAACAACAGCCCAAACCACAGGTAACAGTTTTTGTTTGATTTTTTTTGTATTTTTTTTTGTATTTTTGCACAACTATTTGATTACTCTTTGGTCTAACAGGACAAATGTTTGCACAACCTGTCAATCCATATATATAATTATTACCTTTGAGGCATTTACATCATCGATTATGATGCCTAGGTCCTACACTGTTAGAAATAAAGATTCTGTGCAGGTACATTTTTCGTTCATTAGGGTACAAATAATGTAAATATTCCCTCTAAGGTACAACAGTGGTTTTAAGGTCTGATTGTGAACCTTAAATAAGTTTTTCCAGGTGAAAAGTTTGTATTTGCACCTTTTTATAACCGAATGTTTTAAAACAGAACAATAAAATAAAAAGCCTGGAGACGAGACGGGGTGTGTGGAGTCAGTACAACTTAGAAAATATAATTTCAGTGGATTATGGTTCAGTTATGTTCCCTGACTAAAGGTACTGAGATAGACCCTTGAGGGCCCCACCCCAGTGACAAGAGGGGGACTGCCCCAGTGACAAGTTTAGTACCTTGATTTCTGAGAGTGTATAAGATAGTGTTATCGGTTCTGCGCTGACATCTGGACCAGGAATGATCCCACTGCAGAACAAGTGGAGGCTGGTCGTACATACCAGAAGTGAAAGAAAATGTTTGATATTTCATAACTTCAATGGTCTTCGGAATACGTACGAGCTATGACTTGCTTTGGGCTGATAAGATAAAAGAAAGTGATGTAAAAAGGTTTGGACTGCTAGCTTGTGCTTCAAGATGAGGAATGTATTACTTTCCAAGGAACGTCACTTAAACTCGGTCAATTTGGTGAAAAAGGACTTGTACAGTACAGGCACTTATATATTTACAACTTGCTATGGCAAAAAATTGATATACCAAAATCTTGGCAGCACTACTGCCTTCTACACTGTTGTACCTTCGTTCATACACATGTATTGTAACCAGTTCCATGAGAGCAAACTGTTTACCACATACATTCTAGGCTGAATTTACAGCTACACTTCTGTGCTTGTTTGATTCACTAGAAAGAATGTTTCTCATATCTGAAACACAGTGTGGCCTCTCCCAGCTTTTGTATTGGAAAATCCGCTACATTGTGCTACATAAAGCATTTGCTAACATGCTTAAAAGAAAAATACATGATGCCAAGTTAGCTAAGCAAGCTAAGCAAAGATTAGCATTCATACACAGACGCAGGACAAGCATAGTTAGAATGAAGACATATTGCATCACGTAAGACCCTGCTTTGAACAAAGAATGCTAAAAAGACGTTAAACTGTCCAAACTATGTAAACATAGCCGAGTGCAGAAAGACTAGAAGAGTTCTATCACTATAAAAGGTGTTAAAGATTTAGATTACAGCATTTATAAAAGGCCCAATCATGAATTACTGTAACTGGCAGCCCAGTTAATTAAACTGCAACACGAGGATTTAAAATAATGGCAGCTGTGCTCCCACATAGCAATACTTATATATACACCTTGTGCTCTGTTATTAGTCTATGAAGTAGCTCTGGGCTGGAAGCAGTTCTGTTTCAGCAATTCGTGATTGAGGCCTGACAATAAGTATTGGACAGAAGAACAAAGGTAACAGCCGTCGTGGTTCACTGGACAAAAACTTCATTTAATAAACACTGGCCAATAAACAGAGGAAAGGATCCTAATAAAAGGCATATAAGAAGAGCTTGTCCACTCACGATGAAAAAACTCTTTAATGATTATTCAGTACATTCAATGTTTTTCTTACTTTTTTGTCTTGTTTACACCATTCAGGCTTTACGTTTAAGAGAATGTAATGAACTATTTTATATTCTGCACCAATTTTTAGCAATTCTGCAACAGTACAAAGGTTAACAAGCCTAACATTGTACCTTTTCTCCCCTCAAAACTTTGAAGGAGCTATTAAAAGAGAGATGCATACCGATATGGGAATCATCACATTATTGGTAGATTATTGTTTAAAAAACATTTACTGTCATCTGACAGACGTTCAGATTTGACCGATGTTTCATAATGATATTTGATTACTTATTAATCATAGCTTTGAGTCTTTTTAATTACTTTTTTGGTGGAATGGGCTGTCATCATTGAGCTGCGCTAAGGGAAAAATTATATATTTGTCATCAATATTGCCCAATGAATTACTTTTTCTCTCTCTTCATCATTTTTGTACAAGTTCTTAAATGGGCCTTATACTGCATTTCTCTAGCATTTCATTTTTCCCCTCCTGAGCTCCACTTATAATGTTCTTGGTATTTTTATGTACCAAACACAGTCATATTTCATTTATACGTGACCATTTATCAACGCCTCTTTATCCCTTACACACTTAAAAATGATGGTTCTACAAGGGTTCTTAGGTAAAGAAAGTGGTTCTGTATGGAACCATGAACACCTTGCACAATTAAAAGGTTCTCTGGATTGTGAAAGAGATTGATGGAGAATGTGTTGTATAGGGTTCTTCATAGAACCGTTTAAAAAAGGGTTCTATATAGCACCAAAAAGATTTTTAGGGTATTATTACAAGCTTGATATTGTACCAAAAGGGTTCTTCCATTATTACAAGCTTAACTTCTTAAAAAAAGGTTCTATATAGAACCATATTCAACACATTCACGATCAGTCTGAAGAACACTTTACCCTGTAATCATGCAAAGCGTTCTTTGAGTGTTCATGGTTCTACATAGAACCATTTTCTTTACTAAGGAGGCCTTGAAGAACCATAATTTTTAAGGGTGTACAATTAAACAGTTTTTATTGCTGAGCCTTTAAGATTGATATGTAAATGAGGTCTGTTCTGATTAGCTGTCATGTACTGTGCCATGTTCAGAAAGTAGTGCAGACTGAAACAGGCTGAATGGGCAGAGCTAAACTGCTGTAGGCTGAATAGGTGAGTTTATGTAAATGAGTTCGTTTTCATAACATCGTTGCAGCTTAGTTTCTGTATGATGACTGTACAGACTGGGGAGTGAAACTAGTCTGTAAAAGTCTCCATAAAGATGGATAATAAAATCACTGACTTGAACGAATCTTATTTTTTCTGATTCACAGTCCAGCACTGCTCTGTTAGAACACCTCAAAGCTATGCTGCTCTTTAAAGCCAAACGGAGCTGGACGAGCACTCTGTGGGTTGTGCCTGGACTCGTGTGGGTTTAAGCACGACTAACAGAGGGAAAGAACGTGTAGTGCTGGATAAAAATAACTCCTCACCTTTTGTGGATTCCGGCGCTGCTTCTGCTGTATGAACAGATAAAAATGGTACAGAATCACATCATGCAAATGAAAGGATTACACATTATTAACTACACATTCTCCCTGCACATCCACACAAAGCTGTGGCTGCAAGTTAAAACTAGGGCAAGTTTATCACTGCACCTATCTGACTTTGATAAACTGGACAAACAGTGCAGTGCAATTTTATTTCAAAGCTAGATTCACAGGCTTGCAGGCTAACTTTAGGTTTAATGCTGCAGTAATTTGAAATGAACAAAAACCTCTGTGTTCGAATTAGTTCCACCTGAACCATTTGGTGCATTAGCTCATAAATTTAGCTCCATAATACCATTTTCTGTGCAGAAGCCGCCCTTCCTGTGCAAAAGGCCAGCTCCACAAATAATAACCTTAACCCTTTCACGTCCAGCTACTAAACTTCGTATAAACATTTTCTGATTGGCCTAAAGTGATGAACTTTTGTGTAGTTATACTCTGAGTAAACATCTCTCGGTCTCAATTTGGAATTTTTAAATACATGGACTCTTCTCACTTTTATTCAAATCAATTTTGGCTGGTGGATCTATTGTTAGTGACCAAATGACTACATTAATGATAATCTATGTGATAAAAGTACATTTTTAGCCATAATTTGATCAACTTAAACATATTTGTGCTCAGAGAACATATTAATGAGTTAACTACTACAAAAGAAAAGTGTATGTGACCTCAATTCAGTCTAAATGTCCACTATATGAAGCTAATATAATATTTGTTAATAATTCTAATAATAACAATAATAATAATAATAATAATATTATAATTAATGGGCCAGAATATGCAAATGAGCCCTCTAACCCATACAGTGTGCTGTGATCATCCTGACCAATCAGTTCCAGAGGAGCTTCTGCGGGTTTTTTGATGCATCATCGAGTTCACATATACCAAAGAAAGTCAATTATTTTGGTCAAACTAATTGGCAATAGTGTCACATTCTTAAAGTGGAACTCTGCAGAGTTTTCAAAAATTCTATGTAATTACATGGTTGGAATGTAAACAAAGTCATTCAAAGGGATTTGGTGTGAAATGCTCTGTTCTAGAGAAATTTGCTGAATCAGAATTGTTCACAGTGGTGGTGATAGGAACCAGACGTCTGAAGAGTTTAATGTCTCTGAAAGCTTCTTCACAGAAAGTTAGGACATGAAGTGGTTAGATAATGTCGACACAATGTTGTATGATAGTTTAGTGATAAGGTTTCGGCTAGAAATGTATTTTAATGCATTTCTAGCATTTTCATTAATGATGGGGAGGTACATGCAGGGTGTTGTGAGGCAAACTAGAAAACTTATTTTTCCAGATTTATCAGTATTTTACCACCGTCATTACATAAAAAACCCAAAAGACGTGTAGGTTCACTGGTGGTTTTAGATAGTAGATAAAATGTCTATATCTGTGTTGTAGTCATGGTGACCCCTGGTTCCTATCATCACCACTGTAAAGAAATCTGAGTCTATGTTTCTCTACAACAAACCATTTGTCATCAAACCTCTCTGAATGACTTTGTTTATACCTGCAGGACTGAAATATTAAGAACATATAAGTGGCCACAGTTTTGATCCTGCTGGAGGGGAGTCTGACACACTGGAGAAGCTCTACAGCAGGAGTTTTCTCAGTGCCTCACCTGCTGTCTCTGGCTGTGTTTTTGCAGGAGCATCTGGCTGTGCCTCTGTTTTGCTGGGTCTGCTGGCGATCTGCGTGATTCGCTCCTCGTACCTCGCCTTATCTCCTGATATGGTGCGATACACCTTCAACACAAACAAAGCACACAGACCTGGTGATACTCAACACTTAAATCAAGATATCCACTAAGGGTGGGCAATATGGCAAAAAATATAGCACCATGATACTTGATAATTTTCATAATATACAATATGCAACACAATATTTCATTTTTCTGAAGTATGGGACAAAAAATAAGCTGGAACTGTAAAAATATACCAGCAAAACAGCAAAGCTACATTTAAAAAGGCCATTAAAATGTAAGATGTAAGTCATTCAGAGTGGTCTGATGTGAAATGCGCAGTTAGAGAGAGACTCAGATTTACTCACAGTAATGGTGATACAAAGCAGATGTCTGAAGAGTTTAACGCCTCTAAAATCTCCCTCACTGAAAAGTTATTACATGAAATGGTTATGAACACGCAGCCTGATGTCAAACATTGTTTAACAACAGTTTTGAGAAGGTTCTGGTTCACCACATATTTTTTTAAAATCCATTTACAGTGGATGGGTACACGCAGGATGTTGTGTGGCTAAAAAGTCCCCAAAGAAAACTTTTTTTTTTTCAGTCTTACCATGTTATCACCGTCAACTTTACACAATAGGTTCAGGTAGATTCACTGGTGGTTTGGGTAGTAAATAAAACGGCTATATTTGCGATATGACGCCTGGTTCCCATCACCAACAATGAACCATTTCATATGAAACCACTCTGAATGACTTGTTTAGAGTCTATTTATGCAGAACGTCTGAAAAATTGGTGGGAATTCACAGGAATGAGGGGAAAAAACAAAAAACTGGTAAAAACAAATGAGTTTTGTTTTTGAGATAATAGAATAATGCACTGATATCCATTTAGCTACCTGTTACTATACAGTTTATACAGTTACTACACACTGGTGTTTACACGCTCTATGACTGCCCTAAATGAGTCTATTTTTTATGATGCAGTTGTTTATAAACCTTTACTTTCTGTATTTGCTTTTGTCCCGATATAAAAAAACAAAGAATATAAGTGATCATTTACTGAAATTACAGCCATTCATTTAGAAAACCACTACTGGAGCTACAGAAATAGGACGGGCTAAATACAGTACAGCCCACAGCCTATAAGTCTCATTACTCTCAATGCAAAGCTACAATCAGCAGAGTTTAGCAGGAGATGAGAGTTTTTCTAGACTGTTCAGGCCACAGCAGACAAGCCAACTGTTCCATCTCTCACAGCAAACTGTCTAAAGAGTCAGTAATGCTACTTTTGCCTTGCACAAATTCATCCATGAGCTGATTTTGACCTCAATAATGCGCCAGTCCATCTAATACATGGTCACTACTGGAACAAAACAAAAGAGCATTTTCTTCCTTTTCTGAGATTAAAGTCCAAACATGGCCTCATTACTGTTTAACCTCACTGAGGCAAAGATTTACTGCCTAATAATTAAAAACGGCAGTGAAACGGTTTCAGTCAAATCTCAGTAAATGTGTATCAGTGCTGAGGGCTGGTTTTAGGGTGAGCAATGTGAAGATATTTATTGTTACTGTTCTTAATGCACCAATATCGATATTGTTTCTGTATTGGCCAAATACTGGCACTTGAAGACCCAGTGAACACAGTGCAAATCAGGGATGCGCGTTCATTTTTATGGTCCATTCCAATTTCTTTACAGCCAAACTGGCCAAAACGATTTTTATTAGCCTTTTTTTAAACCCAAATCCCACATTTTGTGGGCTAAATAAACAGATGAAACACACTGGCATATATACAGAACTTTTTATTAACCAAATCTGCAATATGAACAATACACTTTGCTCCTTAATCAGCAAAACTGCCATTCAAATTATTTTGAAGTTGCATTTGAGACATAAAAATCAAGCTGGACCTTTTGAGCCTGTGTATGACAGTAACACGTAAAGACATAGGAAGTGGTATGAAAAACTTGGGACCTGACTATTAAATGATTATTTCAGGCTTTACAGGTCGATGCGCAGCAGCACATGCTCACAATATATCTTCTGTATATCGTAGCCTGTTTTCACTCTCCTCATTCAGTAATGCTCCTCATTTTAATAACTTACACAGTGCAGTTTAAGGGTAAAAATGAATGTCTTTTCTTTCTCATCCTCTCAGAAAATAAGATATAAGTTTCAGCATTTTTGTGTGTTTTTTCAAGTTGACTTTTTCGTTGGACCAAATCACAGTTAAATATTTTGCTCGTGTGCTACCGTGGCTCGTTTTTACTTCTCTCCTGGTTCTTCTTCCGTTGTTTGATGGGTGACGATATCCTGCCTCAACTTTCTGTATTTGGTCCAAAAGTCCAATCAAAAAAAAGTGTTTTCACACTGCAAACAAACCGAACCATGGATCAGTTTGATCTGGACTGAGACAATCTCTTCTGGTCGGACCAAATTTTGGTCCTGTGGTCCGAGTACCTGCAATTTCAGTTCTGATCAAACTGAAGTCCAAAGGTCCAGACCAAACAAGATAAATATCAGGATTTATAGTCACCTATCAAGTTGTTAGATTTAGTATTGGTATCGGTACTCAGTATGAGCTGATACTTGAGGATCGGTATCATATTGGAAAAAGTGGTATCAGTGCATCCCTACACACTTAAAAAAAGACTCTTCAAGGGTTCTTTAATTAAAAAATGGTTCTATATAGAACCAGGAACACTCAAAGAACCACTTGCATTACTAAAGCTGACAAAAACTAAATACTGTGATGTATATCGTGTGTTGTGAAAATGTCTTCAAGTATCGTGATGTCACATTTTTGCCAAATCGCCTACCCGAACTAGTACCGTGACCAAACGCCACACTAGGGGTGGGTGATATGATGATATGTTATGAATATCAAGATAAATTACATCACAGTATGTTTTTCACAGCACTTTTCCCAGCTGCCCATCCTAAAGTGAACAGTGTAAAGTCTGTACTCACATAGACTCCGCCTCCTAAACATGCAGCTCCAACCAGAACTAAGTAAATCGTGTTTTCTCCGCCTCCTCCTGTTGGCCCTGAGGACATATGGGCTTGCTGGACAAGTGGTGGCCTCCTCTCATGTCTGAGCACTGCAAAATCAATCAATCAACCATTTAATTAATCAATTTAACGGAATTTACAAACTAAAACTCATTTTAGTGTAATGGGGAAATTGACCATCCTCAATGTAAAAAGAATAGTTCTGTCAAAGTTAAAGTGATAAATTATCATTGTCATTATCAGTTCCAGCGTAGGTGAACTACTGATCAAACTAAAGCATAGTTTAAAAAAAGGCAATAGTAAATAGCAAATTCAAAATTTAAGACATAAAAGACATATTAAAGCCATTCATTTGTAAAATGTCCCTTTAGACAAATTAAGATTCTGTACAGTTGCAACTGGTTGAGAATTTCTGGAACAAGAGCTAAATACAATAGCAGGTGTAACCTGGTGACAAAACTAGACCCTCTACAGATGACCCGACGGCAGCTTTTCAGACACTGCGCTCAGAAGCATCAGGTTACACTACTGTGTTGGGTCAACACAAATACAGTCTGATCCTATATCAGCAATCCAACTTGTTTGGGCTCACGGAGTCCAAATATAATACAGTGTTAAAAGGTTTGCTGTGGTTTTCTCACCCAGAGCCCCCCCGACACACTGAATACAGCTCTGTTCAATACAACATCTCAGATGAACTCATGGTTTTCACACAGGGCACGTATGAACGAGTGAGACTGATACTAGGATTACTAGGATTTTTTTTACCATTCTTTTTCTCTGCAGAAATGATGCATCGTAAGTCACACAAGCACCAAGTTTGGAGGGTAGGTGTAGAATATTCCCCACTACTCAGGCAAGTGAAACAATCACAATTGGCAGGATGGTGGCGCTATGGACCAAAGTTTTACATTTTGGCCCATATTTCTGGAACTGACACACAGAGGCAAATATCTTATATATACACACATATCCATTTTCCCCACATAAATGCCTCACTGAGCTATTAAGCTCCTCTCATAAAATTTAGATAATTCGCAAAATATGTGAAACCTACAAACTACAAACTAGTCTGTGTTTTTTTTGTCAACACAGAATTAGTCAAGAATTATTTCAAAAGTGGATATTTGTAAACAAAACGATTCTAAATATTTGTAAACCTGCCACTCGCTTCTTTCAGGCTCAAGTTCAGAAGGTGCTGGGTTCAAATCCCACCCGAGCGGTCTTTGCAAAAGTAGGACATGCGAATCAGCAATAAGAAGTTTGTATCCTAAAATCTTTGCAAGAGTCTGAAACTCAGTAATTATAAAAATGTATGCTAATGATTATGTTATGATTATGACTATGATGTTTATAAAAGAGAAGGCCTTATTGGGCTAATGGTGCTTGGGCCCCGGTGATTGCCGCTTGTGGATCTATTTTACCTCTATATGTATAAAAGGCTGAACTTCTGCATGAGGCACATTCACTGTTGCGCACGCAAATGCTGTAAATAAGTATCATAAAATGCTGTACTGTGATTCAAATCGTGAGGTTTCTGCCAATACAGGCGCCTGAATGTAATGTAACTACCGTTACCTGCAGCACCATTTAAGGTGGAACGGAGGATTCGAATGAGAAGCTGGCGAACCTGCAGCAAAACAGGACCGCAGAAAATGAGCTTAACACCACTGAAGCTGTCAAAATAGCTGGTCAAGCTGACCGGTTGGTGATTAACTGAAGCAGAAGGTCAGTCAGAGAGTGAGTGAGTGAGGTAGCGGAGCTGCTGGAGGGAACTTGCCTGCTGCTCTCTTCCCGCCCTGCCGGCACAGAGTTGAGGAGGCCCGGGCCAGCGGAGCCAGCTTATTCCACACTGCTTTACACGTAAACATGCTGGTTCAGACCAACACCAGTTCAGCACCAGAACCTACTCCTCCGCCACCGTTTCGGTCAGACAGAAACACGCGGCCCTGTTGAGTCCTCCTTCTTCTTAGTAGGGTCACTCCGCTTTCTGCACGACCTTCCGATTTCCGCTCCAGGCCCCGCCCCCTGTCCGCGTTCATTGGCTGTTGCTTCTAACCGCGACTCGCTCATTGGTTGGTTCTGCTTTCTATCAGTAGATCTCGTAGCTCATTGGTGGATGAAATCCTCCCTGAGCCGAGGATTGGCTTTGTAGCGCACTTCATACTTCACACGTATTAGAGGTCAAATGTAAGACTTATCACTCATTTTTATTAAGTATTATATTATAAATGTACATTATATATAAATGTATGGTGCAAAAGAGTAGAACCCTTTTTTTCACTTTATCAAAAGTGTAGAACACTATAGAACCTGTGTTCTCATTTTGGCATTTTATGCAAATAGTCTTTTTTATAATTTTGTACTGTATTTTTTGTCTCCTTTAATTTATCGATATTTCTCTGTTTTAGTTTGTTTTATTATGTAATTTTTTTTATTTATTTATTTTTTCTGATCGATTATTATGTATGTGTATTTCTCATCTCTCTCCCCTGGCTCTAGCTTGTTTGTCAAAAAAAATAAAAAATAAATAAATAAAATACATTTTTATTTATTTTTTTTATTACTAATCTGCTTAATAGTTTTAATTGGTTGTCCTGATTTGTCTTAGTTGTCTTAATGTTTCCTATTTTGTAATCATTTCTTGGTCATATTTTATTTGCTTAGCTACACTTTTACTATCAAAAATGTACATTATATAATAATCAGTCACTTCTTTTTTGTATAATACTACGTTGTGCATGAGGGTCACTCTCAATGTTTTCCGAGTTTAAATAAAGGCTGAATGAAATTTGTGTCATGTAAAATTTTTCCCCAGTGTCTTTTTTGTTCTGTTCTGTTTTTTTAATTGCAAATGACCATTTATGCAATAACAGAAGGACAGTAAAGCTCAGCATTCACACACTGAACTGAATGCCTTAATGAGACATCAACACACAATAATAAAAAAAAGCAAAAGCAAAAAGGAATACCATTTGAGATTTAAGTAGAACTGAAAAGCCTTGGCAGAGCAAGAGTTATTTTGAACAAAATATTTTGTTTTGCTGCAGCCATAAACTCACAAATCTAGATTTGTAATTACACACATTTGTGTATTAAATACAAAAATATACATGAAAGTGTCTTTTTGGTGAAATTCATCTTACAGTTTTTCTTGATGGCTTACACACATTTCCTGCTCTTAAATGGTCAATACAGATTCTCAAAGCACACATTTAGCAAAGAGCAAAATGAACCTCTGGCTACAAAACCATGACCTCTCTCAGAAAACCAGAATATTCACATCACAGTACCAATCACATCTATCATATGAATTTCTACAGAAGATCAGGTTTTTCACACTGCAGAACGCAGCTGTCTCAGTGAGTTTGCTGCTGCCTTTGTACTAAAGGAAATCGTTGCTGTCGGGACAAAATCTCATATCTCCATTTTTGTCATTTTTCATTTTTTGGTTTCATTTTAAAAAGGTTGTCCTTTCTGTTGCGTCAAACTTTCATGATGAATGGACCAACAGAAATGGTCAAAAATGTTTCTCCATTTAGTTCCATTAAAAGTTTTTCCTTATAAATAAACATTGTTTAGATCTTCCTGTATGTGTGCTGAATTTAAAAAAACATTGTTTATTTGTTGCTGTGTGTGTGCTGATATGAATAGACATTGTTTAGATGTTGCTGTTTGTGTGCTGAATATGAAGAAACATTGTTTGGATGTTGTTGTGTGTGCTGAATTTGTATAAACATTGTTTAGAAGTTGCTGTGTGTGCTGAATTTGTATAAACATTGTTTAGATGTTGCTGTGTGTGCTGAATTTAAATAAACATTGTTTAGACGTTGCTGTATGTGTGCTGATATGAATAGACATTGTTTAGATGTTGCTGTTTGTGTGCTGAATATGAAGAAACATATGTTTAGATGTTGCTGTATGTGTGCTGAATATGAATAAATGTTTATAAATATTGCATGTACTTCAGTTTTAAATGTAGCAGGTCTTGACAGTGATTTAAGATCTTAGCAACACAATCTCCCATTTGTTTTTTGATAATGGCTCCTTCACAATAATTTAAATGCAGATGCAGCTTTTCCTACTGTAACTGTCCAACCGTCCCACTCAAACTGAAAGTTCAAACTGAAGTTGCTTTCAATTCCTTCGAAATGTCTGATTCATTGAATCGAATGTTTGAATCATTGATTCATTTGTTTTGGATGGACTCTCTTTTATAAAAAAAATAACAAATGTATATCAATTAAAGGGCCTATGTCATATAAAACTGAATTTACCTTATTGTTCTGAAATTAAGGAGTTTGTTATAGTATGTAAAAAAGTTCTCAGAACTCTCAGAACTTATTTGCATATTCTTAAAGGTTCAGAAACAAAAACAGCCTGCTTAAGTGTGTTAGGGATAAAGAGAGGGTGGAAAATTGTCATGTAAAAATTAATTCTGAGTGTTTTTTTAGCCAAGTAAACCACTGAAACATTATAAGTGGACCTCGGAGGGAACATTAAAATTAACTTCTTATTTTCTGTCCTTTTGAGTTATTTTACATCTCCTTTATGTCTTCCTGTCTATCGATCTATCTATCTATGTAGGTTCTATCTATCTATCTATCTATCTATCTATAAAGTTTCTAGCTGTTTATCTATCTATATATCTATGTAGGTCCCTGCAGTCGATATATCTTTGTAGGCTCTATCTATATATTTAGGTTCTAGCTATCTATTTATCTATCTACCTATGTATCTATCTATTTATAAAGGTTATATCTATCTATCTATCTATCTATCTATCTATCTATCTATCTATTTATCTATCTAGTGCTGTACACTACTTCTGTTCTAGTCTATATTTCCACCTCCTATATCATTACTGTAGTATTGATTTATAATAATCTATAACACTGTACAGTGCATTATACTGAACTACACTCACTGTTTAAAACTTCACTCATTCATAGAAGAATCGAGTTGACTGTGCTGTGAATCGGTTCGATTGATTCATTGGTAAGAATCGGATGAAAAGAACAATTCTCGCACGAGTTCACCGCTCGTGCATGTTGGGGTGCGGTTCAGTGGGACTTTCCAACTTTCCAGCGAAGAAAAACAAGTTATGAGGAGCGAACACGGAAGGGCAGAGGAGCTTAGACCTTTGACTCATGAGAGAGAGAGAGAGAGAGAGAGGGAGACACAGAGAGAGATACAGAGAGAGAGAGACAGAGAGAGAGGGAGACAGAGAGAGAGAGAGACAGAGAGAGAGAGAGAGAGGCTTTCTGTTTCTGTTAAACATGCCAATACTCTCCACCAGAGAACCCAAACATGACCGCGGACAGTCGGACTGAAGCTGTCTACAGTGAGCTGAGGGAGGACTGCAGTGGACCCTCTCAGTCTGGGAGATGGAGCTCCTACTTTTTGACCCTCAGTTTGATTCTGGCCGCTGAAACCTTCATCACAGCCTGCTTTCTGTACCGCTTCGCCTCCGATATCCACACAGTGAGTAACAGGAGAACCTGAATTCGAACCAGAACCGCCTGTTTAGAGCAGAACACGGTCTTAATAATGTCTAAAATTAATAATAATAATGAAAACAACGACAGTAACAGAAGTGATAATGATGATGATGATGATGATGCCAGTTTGTAAACTCTTAGCAAAAAGGATTACAGTACCTAAAAAGTACAGAGCCCTGCTGGTGACATTTCACATATATAAAAATAATCTGTGACCACACCTTGTTAACACGTGGGAACAAGATCCTAATGCGTGTCAACAACTTAGTAAGGTGTGGGAATAAGATAATTAAGTAGTGGCCACCACTTAGTAAGCCATGGGAACAAGATCGTGCCTTACTAATTTGTGGCCATGCATTAGGATCTTGTTCCCACGCCTTACTAAGTCGTGGCTATGACTTAATTATCTTGTTCCCATGTCTTACTAAGTAGTGGCCATGCATTATTTTTTATTTATACAGGATATCACGAGCAGGTCTCTGTAAAAAAGAGTTCTTTGGCTTGTAACAATAATGGAACCCTTCTTGGTGTTATATAGAACCCTTTTCAGAAAGGGTTCCATATAGAACCATCTACAACACATTCTTCATCAGTCTGAAGAACGCTTTCACGTTGCAAAGAACCCTTTAATCATGCAAAGGATTCTTTGAGTGTTCATGGTTGTACACACTTAAAAAAGAAAATGGTTCTATATAGAACCATGAACACTCAAAGAACCCTGCATAGTTAAAGCGTTCTTTGCATCATTAAAGTGTTCTTCAGATTGAAGGAGACTGTGTTATAGATGGTTCTACATAGAACCTTTTTGAAATGGGTTCTTCAATTGTAACAATGTCAAGCCTGTAACTATAGAAGAACCCTTTTTGGTCAAAGAGGTTCTGTGTAGAACCATCTATAGCACATTCTCCATCAATCTGAAGCACACTTTAATGATGCAAAGAACTCTTTAACCATGCAAAGGGTTCTTTGAGTGTTCATGGTTCTATATAGAACAATTTTCTTTAGTAAAGAACCCTTGAAGAACCATCTTTTTGGAGTGTAGCCTACAATAATATAAAAATATCTTAAAACGTCTACAATTAAATAATTAACTAATATTATTATACTTATAATGGGTCAAGATGGCCTCTACATGGAGTAAGGAGCCCACCTGGTGAATCTTGCATCAATTTGTCATGCAGGTTTTACATCATTTACAACTGTCAAATAATTTGTAGTGTTTGCATCTTTTAGAAACTGCGTTATAAATAAAGTACAACACAAAAATATGATATTTAGATTAAATTGAGGCCTCTATCAACTCATGTTTTAATAATTTCGCTTTATTTTAAAAAACTCATATAGTTAAATTGAAACATCTATAATGTCGATTTAGTGGCATTTTGATTATTATTATTATTATTATTATTATTATTATTATAGCAACAATATAACAATAACAATGTAAAGAAAGCAATAGCATTAAACATTTAACTGTTCAGCAGGAATGTGTATTATTCATGACAGAACCGATCAGGTGATGAAACTGCAGAGCTGCAAAACTCACATACAAACTCATCTCCAGCAAGACTTTTATTTTTTAAAGTAATACATCCATCTATTTTCCAAAATTAAAGAAAGGTCTCGCACAAATGGGCTAGAAATGTTTCATTTTTCACTTTTAGCTGTTCAGTTCCATTCATCCTCATTCATTCACGAAGTCTTCAAACATTTTCCAGTCATTTTTTGATATAATGGGAGAAATAAGAAGCAGTCAGGCCCCCCTTAAACCTACATCAGCTATGCTAATACTAACACTACAGCCACTATCAGTTATAATACCAATGTAAGTGTGTCAGTTTGTAGCATATCATTTTATTGTGTTTACATGCAGGACAAAATGCTTTAATACAGTATTAAAGCTAATAAGCTCATTTTATCTTTCTGTTTAGTTGTTTTATAGCTTATTAAATGTGCTGTTCTCTTACAGTGGAAAGAAAGGCATGTTTACTCTACGTGAGTCACATAACTGTAACTTTACTTAAAAGCTACTTGAAATACATTCATCCAAAGTATTAGCAAGACAACAGCTAACACTGCCAGAAGTCATTTTATTAGTTTTATTAGTTTATTAGTTTTGTGTTTTATATTTTTCTCTCGTTTTCTCAGACTGACGAGTCTCTGAGGCAGGGACTCTACCCCATCGACTGCCTTTACCAGTATTTAGATCAGGAGGAAGATGAGCTGAACGGAGGAGGAATGACGAGCTGTGAGCTGATGAAGAAAGAATTTCAGAACAGCGCTCAGCAGGTACTGACCAGGACTGTAAATGACCTCAAATCTACCTGATTCGATTGTGATTCTTCAGGAATGATTCAGTACACCATGAAATCGTACACGTCACCACGATTCGGTTCAGTTATTTCGGTACGATTCAGAATTATTTTAAAGAGCCCATGGAAACAGATTCGCCCCAAGATGAACAAAAGTTTGATATCGTGGGTAAATTGTTTTTAAAGTGTTAAATTGTTTTCAGTACATATACGGAAATTTAGTTGCTGTTCATTGTTGTTATGATGTCTCAAAAACATTTACATATGTATATGTTATTTTCATATATCCACCTATCCATGGCTCACAGCAGTTTAGCCCCGCCCACTCACCCTGAAGTTATGAGGAGTGTTTCATCCTGGACTGCTTTTCGAATGCAGCACAATAGAGAAGAGCCAATTAGAACTGAGTTAATTTACATATTTCAGTCTTAAAGACAGTCATATCATATGGGCTCTTTATAAATACACTGAATATATATATATATATATTTTTACAGAATTTGAAAAGGTCAGCTGCTGTTTACAGCATCTTAGAATTTCATGATGAATGGACCAACAGAAATGATCCAAAAATACCTGGAAAATAATCTTTTTCCATTAATTTCCATTCAAAGTTAATGGCGTTTATCTTCTCCTCTAAAGTTACCGTTTTGGAAATATGACAGTGACCAAACACCAGGCTTTTTTGAGATTTTTATGTCTGATAATATTCAGCCAGTTTTATCTTGGCCAGAAAATGGATGGATATTGAATATTCTGTGAATTTTAAAGGCCCCATATTCTACATATCCTGCATATCTGTGAAGATTATTTCTGTTTTTTCATCCAGAGAATCCTGCTGGACATCCAGAACTCCTTATGGCAGACTTTAGGAGGTAACGGCATCCAAATACCTTTAACCGATGACATTACTGTCTCATTTTACATGAATATGTTAATGACTTTTCTCTGCGTCTTTTCACAGAACACAACGTTACCCAGATTTTCAAACCAGCCATTCACCTCGGAGCCAAGCAGGAGCTGAAACAGTATCACCATCTGCAGAAAACAGGTGATGATCAGCCAAGAAATGCCCACTTCCTCAGTTTTACATTGGAGCTATGAAGCTAATGTAGTTAACAAGTAATGTATTAGCCATTTAGCATGTATGTCAAAGTCGTCACATACTTGTTTTAAACTGTCAAGTTGTTAAGTAATCGCAAAAAAGTCTTGCTTATGAAGTTTCTAACACTGTATGACACACTGTTACATGGACAACACCAGTATAAACATGGACAAATGTACATTAGCATAGCTAAATACAGTAGCATCCGCCTGAATTTCCTCCATTTTTTTGTCTGTTTTGTAGAAAACAGTATGTCACACAAGTTTGGGGAATTATGTGATGATTTTGACACACAAACTGATGCTAAGCATGATGCCAGTGATGGGTTATAAGCTAATATTACTTGTTAGCAACATTAGCCTTATAACTCCAGTATAAAAGCCAACTGTAGACATAAAACATGTCTTGGCTGTTTAGCTACATCTGGACTAACTGTGCAAACGGATTTTTTGCCAAACGATTCCACCAACTTTTAAAATTTCTCCATAATTCAGTGTGTGAGATGTAAACAGAGTGATTCAGAGTGGTTTGGTGTGAAATGGTTCAGATGTCTTCACAGTAGTGGTGATAGGAACCAGGGGTCGCCATGACTACAACACAAATATAGACTTTTTATTTACTATCCAAAACCACCAGTGAACCTACACGAGTCTTCTGAGTTTATATCTTGGTATTTATTTCAATAAAAATATTTTAGGCTAAAATGTCCTTGAAAAACAGCGTCTCAGGCATCAGGCAACATAATCATAACCATTTTATGTACTAACTTTCTGTGAAGGAGCTTTTAGAGGCATTAAACTCCTTAGATGTCTGGTTCCCATCACCACCACTGTGAGTCAGTAAGTTTCTCTACAACAAATCATTTCACATCAAACCTCTGTTATTACACAGACATTTTGAAAAATTGGTGGACTTCCCCTTTTAGTAACACATACACTGATCAGAACAGGCACTGCAAGTCTAATAAAGATTATAATGTTCTTTAAATGTTTGTTTAGGTGATCCTGAGGCGGTCACGCTGGCGTTAGAGCGTCTGAACTGGGAGGCCCTGAGTGGACAGAGCAGTCGGGAGGGCCTGATGCGTCTCAGTCCCGACGGGGAAATCGTGGTGCCGCAGGACGGGATTTATTTTGTTTACTCTCAGGTTTATTTCGAAAGTTCACACTCAGGCCGTGACCTGCAGTTCATGCAGTACATGTTCAAGCGGACGGCGCTGTATCCGGAGCCGGCGATGCTTGCCAAAGCTGCAGCGACTCCTTGTCTCAAGTCAGAATCCGGTGTGAATCTGTTTTCCAGCCACCAGGGGGCACTGTTTCACCTGGAGAGGGGCGACAGACTCTCACTATACGTACTCAACATAGGGACTGTGCGCTTTGCCCCAGAGTCCACTTACTTTGGGGCCTTTATGATAGACTGATGGAACCTGTATTGTATCTGTACAGTATATAATGTATATAAGTATCTGATGAACAGAAGACAAATCCACCACTGGAAACCACAACAGGAATAAGTTAATGTGTCATAAAAATGTATCTATCTATTTTGCCTCATCACACCCTACATGTATCCCTCCACCATGAATGCTAGAAAGGCCTCAGACATCAGGCAGTGCATTCAAAGCCATTTCATGTAATAAGTTTCTGTGTGGGAGCTTTTAAAGGTGGCCGTCTGGTTCTTATCACCACCACTGTGAACAGTTCTCACTTGGCAAGTTTCTCTAGAACAGAGCGTTTCACACCAAACCACTCAATTACTTTTTTCACATCTAAACAATTAAATTATTCATGTTTTGAAAACTGATGGAATCTAAAAAGAGTTGCTGTAACTGAAAATATTCTTCCACAAGTTGCTTGCAATTACATAATTTAACCAGAGAGGGCACCAAATCTCAGCCTAAAATCAGAATGGACTTTTGTTAGTTCATGTCCCTGTTCATATAAAGTACAGTATCACAGTCAGATTACTTTAAAGACAACTCTCCTGTAACCTTCCATCAAAATGTAATGACTTGTCCACCTCTACAACCATTTATTTAATTATTATTATTATTAATAAATCGCTGTGTACCAGCAGACTGGTAAAAGTATGTTTCACCCTCTCCCACCCCCACCTCCCATAGAAAACACACAGGTAGCTCAGAGACCCTGATACACTGATTCACTCTCAAATACATCACAGCACACAAGGAAAATGTGTTATGACTTCCTATTCACAACTGTAACCCCTCAAAAAGGACAGGGCCCAACGGCAGGCCTCAAGATCTAACTACACACTTATATAACCTTCTATAACAATAGCTCAGCCAGTTTGTGTTAAAGTTGCTGTAGTTACTGAAAACTAGCCTTATGTAAAGACAGTTTTAAAGGGGTTAAATAAATCAATCAATCAATCAAATCAATCATGTGTAGAGGAGCTGCCATTAATGTCCTACCAGTAGGGGGCAACAGACAGCATTAAAATCTTACTGTGAAAAAGGATAAATAAACTAAAGGGTTCCGCCTAGTTCTTCAATCTGTGTCGAATGCACATCCAGCAAATCTGTATTAAGCCAGTTCACTGCTAGCTGACAGGCTTGTTTACTGTTCGAGTTGCTTCGTCTGCATCTTTTCGCCAGTTTATCCAAGTCCATACATTCTTGCATTAAGGACACTTATTTGCTCTTAATTTCCATCTTAACCCCATTTCTCCGAGTGGACATCACCAGCAGGGTGGAAAATGGACTGATAGTTTTATCAATATGATGAAGTTTCAAAATAACTAAAATATGTAAAAATGTCTAATTTAATTCAAACCGAGGGACCTGAAACAGCCCGAAATTGCATTTTACAGCTACTGCAAAAAGGGGTAAGACGTTCTACAGCAAAATACCTCCACAAAAGGCAGAAAGAAACAGGGCCGATCTGTAACATGGAATTCTGATTTATTGTAAGGCGTTTAGAAATGCAGGTATTTCTGAAAATGTGGCCGACAAAAATGAATTTACTAATTCTATATAAAAAGTACAATGGGTGAAATACAAAATAAAAATAAGAAAATAATTCACAATAAAACAGGGAAAAAAGGTCTATACAAAAAGAAAAAGTTTTCCCACCTGTAAGGTACAGGATGATAAACCTTCAGGAGTAAATGAATATTTCGTCTAAGCTTAAAACAAACTCCACACGGTTGCCACACATTTTTAAAAACGTGTGCCAGAGGAACTACGAATCCATGGATTGGACTTAAAAATATTGTACAGTGTGTGGGTATGTAAAAAAAAATAAAAAAAATAAAGAAAAAGAAAGAAAGAGAACAAAGAAAGAGTAAGAGAGAGAAAGAGAGAGAGAGAGAGAGAGAGAGAGAGAGAGAGAGAGAGAGAGAGAGAGAGAGAGAGAGAGAAATAATAGAGAGAAACAGAGAGGTGTGTGTCGTAGGGTCTCAGAATCGGCGGCGTTTGTTGGGGCCAAAGTCAATCGGAGGTCCAGGACGAGGGAATGGAGAGGGAAGAGGGAGATCCCCGGGATTCCCACCAGCACCCTGAGAGAGAAATAAACACCAGTAAAGATCAGTGAAGGTAAAATCTACTTCTCCCCACATTCAGTTCCTAAAGTGAGCTCTTCTGTGTTTGCCATGACGAAGCTGTGTTGTGTGCACTGCTGTACGCCGTTACCTCATTGGCAGACAGGTTCGGTGCGCCTGGTGTCACAGTACCTCCCCCCATCGGGTTCCTGTTCATGGGCATGCCTTGACCTTTAAACCCAGAGAGAGCGAGAGAGTCACTTAGAAAAACGTTACATTATTAGTACCACTGTGTGGTTTTCTGCACTAAAATAGTCGTAATTAATTAATGTTTACATAATTTTCCAATCTCCCTCCATGTCTTAGAATTAAACAGGTTGTTTTTGTTACTGTGACTTATGTAAACGAGCTCTGTTCTGATTGGCTGTTCTGTGTTGGCCTAATTTAACAAGCAGTCTGAGCTGAAACACTTCTTAGAACTTATGAAAAACTGTATGAACAGCTTCATACGTAAAGCTGTTTCTGCAGCTATGTTTTCATATACAGTCTGTGTGGACCAGTGTTATTATAGTCAACTAACACTATTACTAAAACAAACTAGCAGTAAAAATGTGCTTGTTAACTAAGAAAAATGTGTTTTCAAAAACACAAACTATAATGAAGTGACAGTTTTTAAAAACTTTCTTACTTTTCAAACCAACTAAATCTCTAGTTTTAGTTCAGCTTTTTTTCCAGTATGTAGAAGTTTAGAAGTAGAACAGTCTTTAATAAAAGCTGGAGCTGAGCTCAGTCTACCTGTGTTAATTTTATTCTACTCTTGTCAGAACACCCACTATCACAGCATTCATTGTAATGCTAAAACCTAAAACTTTAAAAAAATAAATAAAAAACCCAAACTCCTCAATGAAAAAAAGAAAAACTCCTCAAAAAAAAAATTCTATAATACGAAAAGTCCCTTTAAAGTACAAGAGAAGCCAAATGGGCTGACGAGCTACTTAGCTTCCAGCTGAGGGTCTTAAATGTTTTAGCTTTTTTTCCCCCTCGCACATTTATCTTATTTACATTTAAATAGTCATACTAAAATAACATTATCCTTGTTATGATGTAAACACAGGATTGTAAAGGTTCAGTGACTCACCTCCCATGTGCATCCTCATGTCCTGTTCCCTCTGAGAAAAGACAAAAACAAAAACATCAGCTGTGTTCAGTGCATTTGCTGCTTTCTTGCATGATAAACACAAAGCATGGAACATTTTCATTAACAATTAAACTAAATAAATCCAGCTGCTCGGAAACACTAGATACACGTGGCACTGATGATTCATGCTTGATGTGCAAATATTCTACTGTCTGCGTATTTTAAGACGCGATGAGGAAAAGAAAAATTCAATCAGGCCTCCGACTGTTAGAAGATCATTTTCCATGATTTACATAATACTAAATAAAATAATAATAATAAAAAAAGTGTTTAAACAATGAAATGGACAAATACATCATTTGATTGGCTGTAGTTCTGACTACTGAACAACATTCAGGTGAAGGTGAGCGCATCCTCAGTCACTCAGTAACAAAATCATATTATTGCAGAGAAAACGAACCTCAGACGTCACACAGAGGCTTCACACACAGCAACAGGACCAACAGTGTGACAGAAAGCCTGTGACTGATCAGAGCAGACGCTCAAAGATGGATTGGCCAAAACAAAACTGCAGAGTTAGCAAGTTTGTTTGCGCAGCCCCTGAGAGACTCATTCCACTTAAAATATCAAGGCCTTAACTGACAGATACTCACACAAACCTTTCCCTGACCAATTTGATCAAGACATCTACTAAAATGTACGAAGGAAATACTGGGAAAGGTTGGCTTATGTTAATGTAGCCTCGCTCTACCACCATCGCTCTCCGACACTGTGTCCACTTATCTCAACCGCCCAACCAATCATCAACTGATCACCAGCTAATAAAGTATTAGATGTGAAATGTTACACTGATGGAACAAAATGAGCATTTCTAACATAAACATGATGATTAAAGAGAACATCGTTAATAAAAGATACATACATAGTACACTGGAAATTATACAAAAGACAGCAAAGCCCCTGAGACTCTGTGTTGAAAAATGCTAGAACTTTTCTAAGCAGCAGAGGTTTCGAGTGAACCCTCTGAACCTGAAGCCACAAAGAGGCCAGTGTATAAACAGGTGGTTGACAGGCACCAAGGGAGGTGATGGGTACCAGAGATGCAGCTGGACCTTTTTAATGATTAGATACAAAAAAGTCAACTAGACCTTTTCAATGGGTCGAACTTAATTGGGTAAAGAAAGTGATAAATCTTTAGTTTAATGGGCAAAACAGGTTATGACGCATCAGGAGAGAGAGGGGATCACCTCATCTCTGAAAAGTGTATAAAACATGGAACTCAGACTCTGTATTCACATTTGGGTCCAGAGTCTGATGCCCAGGCTGAACGCACCTTGCCTGTAATAAAAACTGAAGCCTTTTTCTTAAACTGAACCCAGAACTTATGTTGAACTTGAGACAGAATATTTGCTAGATGTAAGCGAAGTAATCTGTTTAACAGATAGTCTGGTGTGGGTGATTGGTATCACTTTACGCCACGACTAACACGCTGTAAGAAGCTGGCGTGCATTAACAGCCTCAATCAAACACAGCTTACACGTGCAACTATTCCGAACTGGTATGAATGGACACTCAAACTGGGCATTAGGGGCCATAAACATACCACAGTATGCAGTCTTGGTGGCTTGACTTCACACCTTTCTAGGACTTCATTAACATTGTCTTGTGAATAGTCTTACTTTCCAGGTGTTTTACATGACTGGAGAACTGGGCTACACCTGTAATCACGCGATTCCAAGTTTCTTCATTGGCCGGTTTTGATGGCTATGAGATCATTTGTTAACCAATATCACAACATTGAAATATTGAGTGTGTTTATATGCACTCAATCCGATCATAATCAGATTTCTGCAGTTATCTGATTATTCAAATGGTCATGTAAACAGCACACTGATTTCTTAGATCTGAGTAAGGTCTAGAAATCTGACAGAGGCTGGATTTTAGCTCAGGATTAAGATTTGAGTTTTAATCAGAGTTTGAGTTTTACGTCACGTCTTCTTCCGTGAGTTTATTGGCTGGTTGCAATGCAGAAATATGATTACTGCCTGACTCTTGTAGACCTGGAGTTTCCCCATTATCTAATTACTCAAGAGCGTGTAAATGCGTTGATCGGATTACTGACAAAATCAGATTTTATGTAGTTATCTAGATTAAGTACATGTAAATGCACTCAGTGATATCGCAGTAGGCTGCAATATGATGAGCCTCTAACCAATCACAGTACTTTGCTGTGTGCTGTGAGCATCTTCTGGATGAGTTCCTGGGGGTGTTTTGATGAATTTAAAAATCTGTTTGATCACACAGATTTATTTAATATATTTCAAGGTGTTTCAGAACTGCAATATCTGGCATTTCAATCACAATACAGCGCTTTGCTCAGGTCTTACTGCCGATTTTAATAAGACTTAAGTAGGATGAGTCAATATAAATGCAAGATGTTCCCCTTGCCTGATATTTATTTATGGCTATTTACAGACCAAATGTATTATAAAAATGCTGTGAATATGAATAAATAAATGTAAAATACTTCCACCAGAAAGTTTCCTCCTGTTTTGGAGACTTTGTACGTGTACTGATTATAAAGCCATACTTGCTCTGCAAAGCTCCCCCGCTGGCCCTGTGTTTGCATGTCAGCCGGTATAAATACATACTTTCTCTGCGAAGCTCGCCCCCTGGCCCTGCTGCCTCCTCATTAAGTCCTCCGTGTGGGCCCGCAGCTCCTCCTCCCTGCGGCGCCGCTCCTCCTCCTGACGCAGCTCCAGCTGCTTCCTCTTCTGAACTTCCTGGTTGTGCGCCTCCTCCATACGCCTCAGCTCCTCCTGCCTCCGCAACAGATCTGAGAGACAAAGAGAGCAAGTTAGACACTGAAATCATAGATTTTTATTTATTTATTTATTTTGAAACAAATTAATCTGTTTAAGAGTTTTTTTTTTTTTTAATAATCATTGTACATTTATGTTCCACAACCCAGAATTAGCAGCAAAGGTTTTAACTTTGGACCAACAGCTGGTCTATCCATCAAATCAACCAACCAACCTTTATTTAAACTCGGAGTACATTTAGGGAGACCCTCAATTACAATGTAGCTGAGCCTATACAGAGATCAGTGTGTGAGGCCAGTGTGTCCATTTTCCACGTCCCCTCTCTCTTCAATGTCTGCTCTCTACTGCCCTCTGCTTAATGGTTATATAGTTGCATGGTTACTGTATATTATACAGAAGAGTTTATTACTTTATTGTAGTGTTTGTTTAGCTGTCTGTCTGCTCTTATCTGCTGCTGGTCTATGTTAAATGGAGCAGCGTGTCCTGGAGAAACATTTCACTCTCTCAACACACCTGTGATTACAGAAAGGGAAATAAAGCTGATTTTGTTCCTTCCAACAGTTGCTGCTTGAGTACACTAGGGGGTGCTGTTTCTCTCTAGTTGATCACTCACAGCGGCACAAACCAACAGGACAATAATGTTAGCAGTCATGAAATTACAGAGAGTAAAAAAACACCAAGTTTTACAAAACGTCTCAAAAAATAGGACATTACAGCAGGAATGTCCTCCAATGAGAAAGTGGTGAAGATTTCTTTAAAAGTACATTTTGTTTGCTTCAAGTTTAATCTTGCTTCTGATTTTCTTGCTTTTCTATTTATACTGTAAATTGTTCATTTATTACCATTCCCACGTGTAATATAATCAATACTTAATGCGTAATTTGGGTAAAATATCCTTAAGCCTAAATATTTGCTTTTTTATTTATAATTGTTTATACTGCAAATTTTTATGAAGTTTATGGGAAGGTGAGAGTTTACATTCTCATATATCTATTATCTTTACTATTACATATATTGTCTATATAGTAACTAGTAACAAACAAACCTTGTTAAGTAATTAAGAAGTTAAATTACTTTAATCCTCTTTTCTTGAGTGCCTTGTTCTCCCTTTGCTGCTGTAGCACTGTAAATTTCCCCACTGTGGGACTAAAGAATTATCTTAAAAATTATTATTAAGTATTTGGAAATACATATTTACTAATAATTAATTGGGAAAACGATTAGCATCACCACCTCGTCTTAAAAGAAAGCAATAAGGGAGAAAGTGAAGGACTGAGGTTTCTGGACTCACCTTGTCTCATGAGCATGACCTGGTGCTCGTGCCTGGCTGCCTCCATCTCCTGCTCCAGCTTCTCCTGAGCTTCTTTAATGTTCCTGTCCACCTGCTCGAACTGCTGCTTCTCCATCTCCATCAGAGCCTTCCAGCGCATCGCATACTCGTACTCGAACGAGCCGGGCTGAGCAAAACGAGGAGGCTGCTCACGCTCCCTGCGGAGAAAGACGCGGTGTGAAGAACAGGTGTCGGCAGAATTTTCTCCAAAGTACATACTGAAACTCTTTTGGCCCAAAAGTAGTTTAACTAAAATTTTTGGGAATGTTTTTGGTATTTTGGGTCAAGTACAGTCACTCTCATTCAGTCTGCAGTCTTTAGTAGTCAGTAAATATACCAACTTCAGCACCTCGCACTCATTTCTAGTTTGAGCAACGACCACTTTAGGTTTGCAGTTTAAAATAAAGTGCTGAAAGAAATATCAGTCCAGAATGGCTTAATCCCATTTCTTATTTTCGAGTGACTCCTTGCCCCCACTTCATTACTACTAGCGCTGCCCTGTAGGCGACCCTGCCAGTCTGCAGTGATCGCAGAGGAGGGTAAAGTTTAGCTCTGCTGGACTTTAGTTATATTTAAGGAATCATATGCCTTCAAAGAGGGGGGCAATTATTTATTATCACCCACCCCTAATGCTTCTTGTTCAAATTTTCCTGTTCCACCTTAAATGAAGCAGCAGTTACATTCTGGCACCTCAGACATCAGAACTGCTGGACTATTTAAGGTGGAACAGGGAAATTTAGCTACCAAGACATCAGCTACTACTAGCGATTCTTTATGCTTGTTATGAAGAAAAAAGGACCATAATACACTGAAACAACATTAAACTAAGAAAACACAGTGGTTATCGTCGTTTTTAACAGAGAAAATTCTCACATTTGTGGGTTTCTTTGGTCGCTGGCGCAGCCATCTTGCCAGTCCTCCCCCAATAACACGCCATTTGGAGTCTGAAAAACCTCTGTTTGGAGGGCCATGTAGCCCCAACACTTCACCCTAGCCCTCTATCTCAACAAGAATCGGGACAACCTACCCCTGGACGTAAATGTGCAGAACTGAGGGGTAGGGCTAAGTGGTAGGGGCGAAAGGTGAAACAGGATCAGGCCTTTGGGTGCTTAACATGCATTTGTGGTCACGTGTTTCCACTGGTGTTTACATCAACTTGTGGCCCTGTGGGTTAATGGATTCATTTGTGTGTTAAAGACTCACTTGTGGTACTGCGGGTTTTTGCTGACCAGCCGCTCTGGAAGTCCCTCGTCTTCATCCAGCTGTTCCAGGGGCTCGACCGTTACTGGCCGAGGAAACCTGAAATCACACACGCACAGCTGCTTACACCTTTTTACCTCGTCACAGGAAATCCAGTTACATTTTAGGCTCCATCAATTCATTAAAATATTATTTAATTATTTAAATAGTTTAATAAAAGCAGTGATAAAGAAAATCACTTACAATTACCATCCAATACCCAGTTTATCTAACCAATCCTTGATTAAATTAAATCAGCTGCTGCTGATGGAACTGAAACAAAACCCATGTGATGGCCTAAATGAAGCGAGAGGTCAGGAACCAAACATGCATTCTTCTAATTTACGCATTAATACTTTACTGAAAGACAGACAGTAGCCACGTTTACATGCAGCCTAATAATCCGACCAAAAGCTCAACAGGAATAGAATACGTCCATTTATACACCTCAATCAGAATAATTTAGTCCGTATTCAATCAGATTGGAGAAAATCTTTGCATGTAAACACAGCCACTCTTCATTGTACTGTATGTTTACTTTATCTATATTAACGTCATCTAGTGTTTTCACTCGCAATAACACACCTACCTACTGCCCAGTGACGGGTTACCTGAAAACATCCTACTACAAAGATGATTCTTAAAAAGATAACATCAAGATGCTTTTGGGAAACTCTGCCCCCACAATGTTCAATACTGTGCTTGTATTTGCTTTTGGGAATGCAAGTGTATTTATATATAAAAAAAAATTAATTGTGACATTAAAAGTTAGTTTGATTAAACCTAATTTTATTGTTCCACTCCTAGTATCAGATCAGAGGGCAGCACATGAAAAAATTAAATGAAACTATTTTACTGAAGCCTTTTAAAGTAGCTGCCTGGCATAAACTAACTAAATTAGAATGTATTGATTTTAAGGGATTTGGAAAGCACATCGCGTTATTTATAAAAACAAATCAGACAGGACTCTATCGGCCGATATAACATTAAAGGACACAGATACTCACGAGGTGAGCAGAAACGCTCCATCAGCACAGCGGTCCAGAGCTTTCCTGGCCGATGGTTTGTTGGCGAACTCCACGATGCCCTTCCCGGTGGGTCTGCCGCGGTCGTCCACGATGACGATGGCGCGCTCGATTGGGCCGAACATGGAGAAGGACTCCTCCAGGAGCTCGTTAGAGACAAACTGAGGGAGGTTCTTTACGGACAGCGCCGCGCCGTGAGTGGCGAAACGCACACGGATCTGACGGCCGCGGAACAACGTGTTGTCCAGTTCAGCTTTGGCAATGTCAGCCAGCGTCTTCGTTTCCTGAGAGGAGAGAAGTTAGAGGAGCTCTTAAGGGTGAATTTAGCTCTTGTTTGTATCTCTAGCTTATCGAGTTTAGCTCCACCCCGGTCTCGCGGTGCCGGATCCGATTCTGTAACGATGCACGTCGGCAGACGACAAACTCTTGGTGCTGGATCAGAGCTAAGCCCGCTGCTTAAATGGGTATGCCTTCTAAAAGCCCCCCAAATTCCTCTAGTCTGTGCCATTTTAACGTCCGTACCCCCAATACACAATACAGAGTACAACCAATAACAGAAGCAAAACAAACTAGCTAGCAAAACACTATCATTAGCTAATTTCCCTGTTTTCTCTTGTGAGCAGTGATGTTTATTTTTACTGCATGTGATGTGTTCTCCACACGACACCCCTCTACATGCTTATTTGGACTTTTTGGGGCTTGCTGTTCACTGGACAATGCTGACGAGCGCACCATCACCTCCTACTTTGAGCTTCAGAACCAGTAGCAGAGCCAGGCTATTAAGTTATTAATGCCAACCATACATTAAAAGATTTTGAAAAGACTTTGAAAGACTTCTAAAGTCTGACATCCCCCACATCTAAAGACAACGTGTCGTAATAAGGCTTTTATTCACCGACTATGATTTTGCAGACTGTAAGAAGTCTGGAGATCTTACAGGGTCAGTCAAGGTGCACTGTTCCTTTAAGAGGCACTTAAGTAGTGTGCGCAGAAGTGCAGCGCTGCTGTGCAGTTGAGATTCTGTGCTGTAACAAAGACCACTGGACCTTGATCTTTTATTTTCTGTAAGTAACGCAGCGAAGGATCAATGGACTGGTTTTAGTTCATGTATAAACGAATAGCTGAAGCCGTGAGACCTGGCTTTATACAGTCACACAGCTAATTAACTAGGTGGAACATATATTTGTCACTGGTCAGCATCTACTCCATGTGCTTCATGTTTCATCCGCTTATTTCTCATCACCAAAACCCGCTGCTGTCTGGACTGGAGTGAAAGCTGAAGCTAGACTCCAAGTGTAGCAAGGGTCACTATTTGCACGAGCCAAGACTAAAAACTGATGACTAATGATTAATCTTAAACACTGATGATTTTACCTGAACATCACACGAAACGATCGAGATGACGGGAGCGCACAACTCCAGCAAGACTCACGATTTTTATTCAGACTTTGACGTTTTAAGAAGTTCAACTTCTTAACTTAAAACAACTGTAAATAATGCAGAATCACTCGAAGTTTCAGCTCAAGCAATTTGAAAATTTGAAAGCTGCTTCTAATGGCAGACCATTAGAAGCAGCTCTGGGCACCGATTTAGGATCAAATAGGACCTTATCCTGGACAGCACTGTGCCCTCTCTCTAACTTGCCTAATTTAACTCATCCTTTTAAAAATGAAGTTAATTTGGGTCTTTAAATACTAATGTGCAAAAAAAAAAACCCCAGCTATTACTAATTGTATTTACTGATTATTTTTGGCCTGATTTAAACCTGAGAGAAAATATCTAGTTTAATGTTAAACAAAAACTAGCTTGGCAGTATTTTTGAACTGTGTGAAGTCTTCAATCCTGAGTGGAACAAAACTGTAAGAGTTTGTCTGCAAATTTACCCACAAGACTTCAACATCTGAAGAAATCAAAGGAAAAGCTTCCCCATACTAACCTACTCTATTTCTTTACTTCTTGCTAATTTCCTGACTAATAAGTCCATTAAAAGCTCAACATGCTGCCGTTTCGGTCTTGGCCCATTTTTTTTGGCACGTAGTCTAACATTCTTGCCTTAGTCACTCAGGCTGCTCTTACCAGGCGGATGAAGCCGAATCCTCGGTCCTTGTTGATGAAGATCTCGGAGGGTTTGCCATATTTGGAGAAGAGCTTCTCCACTTCTTCTTCGGTGGTGCCGGCCGGCAGGTTCCCCACAAACAGCCGGCTGCGCTGTGTGTACGTCTTCTCCCCCGGCTTCCTGAAGTTCTGCAGGTCTATAGTCAGAGCATCATCTGAGAGAGGAAGGAAAGACAGAGAGAGAAATTAAACACATCTGCACAATATATGGCTTCATAACTCGTTACTGTGACGTTGGTCTTTACAACGTTCATAAAACAGACAAGCGCAAAATGAAAATGAGCCTTCTAACCAATCAGCACATTGTTACTGTTGGCTGTGAGCATCCTGGCCAATCACAGCTCCGGAAGTGTTTGTCAGTGTTTTGATGAATCAGCGTATTTACATGTAAATTCTGGTTAAAGTAACGCAAGATAACCTTCAACTATGTCACATTACTGACTCACCAATGTGTTGTAATACACCGTAAGGTGCATCACAATCACAACACAAAGAAATGACTATATTTCAGAAAGTTCAGCCTCTCATTTTAGCCAGATAACTTAAGCCCTAAAGTCAAGCATCACCAACAGGCAAAGAACTGAGGAACACAGTTATTAGACAATGCACAACTTTCAGCTCAAGTTATCTGGCTAAATTAGAAAGCCTGCTTTCTGGAAGATCCGCTGGACAGCGCACTCTTATCTAGCCTTAAATTCCAAGCCTGATTTAAAGAGCCTGCGTCCTACATTACTCCTGTATTTTATTTTCCCCACTGATGTCCACTTTTAATGGTGTTATGTACCAAAAACAGCAGTAATTCATTTTAACATGACCATTTTCCATCCATCTCTTTATCCCCTATAACCAAACAGGCCATTTATATTACTGATATCTGTGAATGATCTCTGTTCAGATAGGCTGGCCTGTATTGCACCGCATGCAAAAAAGCAATCTGGGATAAAACACTCCTTATGTGTGAATGTGCAAGGCTTAATGGTTCAATGGTTGCCGGCTCAAAAGATTGATATGTAAATGTTTTGGCTGTAGTGACATCACAAAAACAGTGATTCAGAGCAGGCTGTTTTGGCAGCTTAGTTTCCACATATAGACTAGGGGGGTGATTTTCCAGGATATCGTCCCTTTAACAATCCCAGCTCTGCAAGTTAAAAGTCCTTTTTGAGCCCTGTTATTAGGGTTGTTATTAGCATGATGGTTCTAGACCAACTACCAAAAAATATCAAAGTAAATAAATGATATTATAAATAAACCTCTAATATTTCACACATCTGTATAAGTAATAACAAGCTGGTCATTAGTGCGAACAAACATCTGCTTGGAATATATAATTATAGTAGTAATAAAAAACCTTAAGGCCTCACAGCATCATTTCAGAACCTATATGCCAAGACTGGACAATGACCCTGAAGCATGCAGTGAAGTATTGCTGTAAAGACCAAACCTCATATCTATTTTGGTACTTTATTTAACAAAGTCAGCTGCTCTTTATATGGTAACAAATTACATGATGAATGGGACAAAACACTTTCAGCTCCCTGTGCCTCTGTTTAGAACCTGCAGCCTCACTTTCAGCTCCTATGAGTGTAGGAATAAACTGTGGATTGAACTTCAACTACATTACTTTTATTAGATAAGAAAAGCCATTTTCTACAGAGAAACATTCGTATTTACAGCAACATTTTTGTTCTTTCAGTGCTGCTGTTAAGGGTTCACAGGTGTAAATCACTGATTAGCCAATCGTTCACAGTCAATCTCTCCAGCTTGACCGCACCAAACTTCTTTTTGTTTCATGGTCACCTCACAAACGGCTCCTACTCCCTACAGAATATACCACACTGGTCTAAAAACCTATATACGCTGCACTTTTTTTTTTAAAGAGACCAAAATTTCACAACTCACTGTACGGAGTAAGGAGCCCTTTGGGACTCAGCCGTTGTGTTTAAGGGTTTCCAAAACATAATGTACAGCTGTCCGTGCCCTCCATATGATAAAAACAAAATGTATGGTAGCCACTAAGCCTCATGACCACTATGTAACATCATATTCAGAGCTGAGAGTGAGGGTCTGAGTGTGGCACCTCAGCTCTGCAGTTAGACTCTCCGCGGTTTTGTTCCTACAGAAGCGCATATACAAATAGCTCAAATCTGCCTTGAAGAGATTTACACACACATCTGTGTAAAGTGAATAGAGGTCAGCCATATGCCAAAGTTGTGTACTGCAACACTTCAAGAAGTTTTTGCGATACACAATGTTACAATATATAGCTAGTATAAAAACTGGTGCTATGTATTTAAAAAAATACTATCAAAAGCTGTGAACACGATGACTTTTTACACTAAATCCAGTTAAACAGGGACTAATTTTGCTTTTCTTTATAACAATGCATGCAGTTGGTCAGTGTTTCAACAAGTACTGATGTCTACGCTACGTTAAAATTATTTTGTACTGCTTTGTGACACAATTCAGCACAATAACACTATATATAGTTATTCTGGCCTGGCCTAACTGTGAATAAGCCTTACTGGGGCTGGCCTGGTCAGCTTGTTCTGTGTGCTGCCCATTGCTGTTGTCCGCTCCTCCGGCCGGCTTCCTCTGCTGCTCGTGCTGGGGGTTGGCCTGCTGTCTCGGGGGGCCGTGGTTGTGGTGCTCGGGACGGGGTCCTCTGTTTCCCTGCATCTGAAAAGGGGGTACAAAAAAAACATTAACAAACCTGCAACACACAACCAAACGCAACCAACTTTTTTTCATTTTAACTGAAAAACTAAAAAGCCATTTTAGTTTGTAAATCTACCAACAATCACAAAATCAGATCAGAGCCTTGGAGCAATCTTAACCTTTCATCTGTGGCCTGAGACAAAGAGGAGTCCAGCTGGTGCTTGCAGACTGAACTGAATGGAATACGGCCGTATCCCAAATTGCTCCCTAGGGCACTACTGGGGTGCAGAAGCCCCTACTTTATGACTCGCGTCGCCTACTATGTAGGGAGTAGGGAACACGGAGCGATCTGAGACTCGGCCAATCTCTTGCGCTAACTAGCCTCGCATGTAGAAAGCCAAAAAGCGATTTTGTGACAATAAGAGCTAAACCAGCTACAGAGACTGCAATTCTTACACGAATTAAACACCACGATAACTTTAGAAATCATAAGTTTCCCTCACTGCAAAAAACATCGTTTAAGCTCGCGAAGCGGCATTTTCTTTTTCAATGCGAGTCTCTGCTAGCTAGTTGACATGCTAAGGCTAACGTACACACTCAACACTAGAAAACGAGCTACCAGCGTTACATAGTAATTAGATACAAAACAGAACCAAAATAAGGAACAAACCGCGCTTTTGCTGCAGTGTAACTTTAAAAATACAGCGGTTTTAATTAAGGCTGTTGGCTGTTTAGCAGCGCACGGAGCTGAATAGGAAGCTAACTTCAGGCTCGCGCTCCTCGCTTAAATTTCTTTAGTTATTAATCCGTTTCTACCCATTTATACTATATCTGTACTCATTGATAAAGACGACATTTTCAGTTAAAACGTTTATAAACAGTGTAAAAGCCTCCGTTACCTTAATGTAGGTGAAATATTCCGCCGCACACACAACGTAGGCTCACCACAAAGAAGATTGCGGGGAGGAGGAGCGACTCTCAGCGCAGCCGTTCTCTCTAGTCGCCGCTTATTGGCTGAAAGCGAGCGTCCGTGGCTCGAGTCGCTGCATTTTGATTGGTCCATTTAATGTCAATCGTATGAGGTAGAGCAGTCCGAGCCTTTTCATTGGCGCGCAGCGGTTTCAAAATCCACTGCGGAGTCTCATTGGTCGCCAGGCTGTGGAAATGACGTAGGAAGTTAGTGCGAGGTGTAGGAGTGACGCTTCAGTTGCGCCATCAGCTGGTAGATCTGAGTGAGAGCGCCTGATTCGCTGTGGATCCATTTTAGCTTTAAACACCAAGTTTTTATTGTCTGAAATTAAAAATGCGCCTTTTTTGCTCAAACTTTACAACGTTCAAATTGTACGCACGATTTTTACTCCGTCTTTTAATAACGAGTTATTGTAAGCTGTTTTCTCGAGATCTCGTGATATTTATGCCAGTATCGGGACAAAACAAATGTTCTCTGGAGATCATGAGTTATTTACTCTATCCAAAAGTATTGGTTCGTCTGCCTTCACATGCACATGAACTTCAGTGACATCCCACTCTTAATCCATAGGGTTAATATGATGTCGGCCCATCGTTTGCAGCTATAACAGCTTCAACTCTTCTGGGAAGGCTTTCCACAAGGTTTAGGAGTGTGTTTATGGGAATTTTTGACCATTCTTCCAGAAGCGCGTTGTGAGGTCAGACACTGATGTTGGATGAGAAGGCCTGGCTCGCAGTCTCTGCTCTAATTCATCCCAAAGGTGTTCTATCGGGTTGAGGTCAGGACTCTGTGCAGGCCAGTCAAGTTCTTCCACATCAAACTCGCTCATCCATGTCTTTATGGACGTTGCTTTGTGCACTGGTGCGCAGTCATGTTGGAACAGGAAGGGGCCGTCCCCAAACTGTTCCCACAAAGTTGGGAGCATGAAATTGTCCAAAACCTCTTGGTCTGCTGAAGCATTAAGAGTTCCTTTCACTGGAACTAAGGGGCCGAGCCCAACTCCTGAAGAACAACCCCACACCATAATCCCCCCTCCACCAAACTTTACACTTGGCACAATGCAGTCAGACAAGTACCGTTCTCCTGGCAACTGCCAAACCCAGACTCGTCCATCGGATTGGCAGACAGAGAAGCGTGATTCATCACTCCAGAGAACACGTCTCCACTGCTCTTGAGTCCAGTGGCGGCGCTTTACACCACTGCATTCGACGCTTTGCATTGTGCTTGGTGATGTAAGGCTTGGATGCAGCTGCTCAGCCATGGAAACCCATTCATGAAGCTCTCTACGCTGTTCTTGAGCTAATCTGAAGGCCACATGAAGTTTGGAGGTCTGTAGTGACTGACTCTGCAGAAAGCTGGCGACCTCTGTGCACTATGCGCCTCAGCATCCGCTGACCCCACTCTGTCATTTTACGTGGCCGACAACTTCGTGGCTGAGTTGCTGTCGTTCCCAATTGCTTCCACTTTGTTATAATACCACTGAGAGTGGACTGTGGAATATTTAGTAGTGAGGAAATTTCACGACTGGACTTGTTGCACAGGTGGCATCCTATCACAGTACCACGCTGGAATTCACTGAGCTCCTGAGAGCGACCCATTCTTTCACTAATGTTTGTAGAAGCAGTCTGCATGCCTAGGTGCCTGGTTTAATACACCTGTGGCCATGGTAGTGATTAGAACATCTGAATTCAATGATTTGGATGGGTGAGTGAACACTTTTGGCAATATAGTGTATATCATTACCATGACATAACAATCATTGTTTTATCGAGATAATATTTATTATGGTGTGATAATAGCATAAATAATGATTAAAAAACATGTAAATCCATGGCCCTTTAAGGCTTCTGTAAAATTACTTTTTTACTTTTAAAAAATAATTACCATCACATAACATTCATACTAGTAAAAATGGGATTAAATGAACTGGGGAAAGCAGAGTTTTTACTAGTAGGGATGGGCGATACTACTCATTTTGTTTTCGATTCAATACCAAGTAATACAAAGGCTAATATCCAGATACTGATACAGATACAGGGAATTTTTTGTGATTTCTACAGTGAAAATAGTTTAAAAAAGGACATTCAAGCTGATATTTGAAAGCCTTTGCCTTAGTATGAAATAAACTGCCACTTAAGCTGTATGTTTAGGGAAAAACCCCTAATGATCTGCCACTACAGAACATTCACCATCGTTACTTTCACCATCTGTTTAATAATAGTGATGTATGTTCTGTTTAAGAGAACACCTAGTATCAATATCATCATGTAAGGATTGATTCTCAAAAAGAAACATCAGGTTTGGAAATACTGATATTTAAGTATCTTTAAGCACACCACTAATTGGTAATCATAACTGAATTCTTAAAATATAAATATGCAAATAAATATAACATTTCAAGTTTGACTTGTTACACATTTTCTATGTCAAATTTCATCAATTTTTTTTTGTTATGGGGATTAATCACATTTTAACAGGTTTAAACTGAATTTCTGATATGAAGAAACAGTGGATTAAAAGCTAAAAGAGGCTGCATTGAGTGTGTTTACATGCACTCGATAATTCAAACATAATCCATAACACAATCTCTGATTTCTGCAGTTACTTGATTATTCAAATGGTCATGTAAACAGCACACTGTGATTTCTTAGATCAGAGTAAGGTCTAGAAAACTGATTAAGAAATCTGATCAAGAGGCTGGATTTTAACTTTTTTTAGTAATCAGATTTCTCAGGGCAGGTAAACTCTTACTCTGATTTCTTTCGGATTTCTCAGTCTGCGCATGTGTGAAAACAGACTGCGGTACCAGAAATAAGTGAGCAGCGTCGCCGCGAGACACAGCAAAACACTTTTGGAGCGGCTGAAACCGACTACTTCATCTTCTGGTGCAACGTTAAAAAAAAAGCCGCAGCATGAAGTTTGAGTTCTACATTAGTTTTACGTCACGTCTTCTTCTGTGAGTTTATTGGCTGGTTGTAAAGCAGAAATCTGATTACTGTCTGACTCACGTAGACCCGGAGTTTCCCCATTATCTGATTACTTCAGTGCATGAAAACGCGTTGATCAGATTGCTGACAAAATCTGATTTTCTGTAGTTATCGGATTATTAAGTGCATGTAAACACACTCAATAATATTTGCTATACACTCCTTGGCCACTTATACATATTTTATATTGCACTGCAACTTTGTTTATTTGTCCACAAATATTGCACATTGCACTGTAACTTTTTTTATGCATCCATAAATGTCATATTGCACAACTGTTAACGTGGGTTATCGTTACAGTACATAGTCACTGTTCATTCCCTTGAGGGAAAATACACCACTGCATTGTCAACTGCATAGTATTTATGCAATTTACTTCTTGTTTTTGTACGGCACACTATTTTTTTACTGTTTTAGTAAATTATTATTTATCTTTACTTTCTATTTATGTATCTGTAAACAGTGTACGGCAATACTTTGCTCTTGTTTTGCTCTTTACTGCACTTTGTACTGGTGCAATAGAAGAATCTCCCTCTGGGATTAATAAAGTGATCTATCTGTTTTAAGTAGAAACTCCTCACAGTTTCACCTGTACAGTTTGTGTTACTCATCCTCTAAACCTTTATCAACAGTCACTGTTAGGCCTGTAACAGCGGTTAACATTCACATCTCACAAGCTCTTTCAATCAGCTGGTAAACAGCAGCTTTAGCGTTATGAATATAAAATATTCTGCACAAAACTTGCAAAATACATTTATGCCTTTATTTATAAACACATCATGAACAGTCATGTCAAGATTTAAAAAAAAAACATACAGTAAAACCTGGAAACTGGAATATTACATTTAAAAACTCTAATAATTTGCTGGTAGAAGACGCTGTGAAATCACACTTTCCTTTGCACAAACTCTAGATATTCTGATATAATAACTGGAGAGTTTTATGTATACAGCATCTTTCATTTACATCAATTTAGACTTTAAAACCTTTAATATTAAGACATTTTATGACCTTAACATTTTAAAATGTGTCCTAAAATGTTGGTTATGTCTCGACTGAGTACTGCCAAGACACGCAGTGTGAGGTAAAACTCCCTAAGAGCATGAGGAGGAACCACTGAGAGAAACAAAGACTCAAAAGGAGAAACTCCCTGAGGGTGTGAGGTTAAAGGGGTGACGGTACAGTTAGAGGTAAAGCGGACAGAGTGACTCCTGTTATGTGTTTAGCTGGGTTTGACCCTTTTCGCTCCTTGTCTGTAATCCTCCTCAGTGAGTCGGTAGCCCCAGTGCTGGAGGGTCTGCCGGACCACCGGAGACACACTGGGGTCATCAAACCTTCGGCCGGACCGCACAACCTTGGTAATGAGGTTATTTCGCCAACGACCTTTGACCCCAGCACAGTTGGCCCATCGACTGATCTGCCGCACATCGTCTTCCGTGCGGCGACCCTCATAAAACCTGCAGGAGAGAAAACGAGTGATGCTGATAAGAGCCGGACAATATGATGTCACTTCATGGTCCACTTCAAGTCCACATCCTTGTATCTACACTCACTGTCCACTGTATCATCTTCACTGACCATACAGGAGCACTTTATAGTTCTACAGTTACAGACTGTAGTCCATCTGTTTCTCTGCACATTTTGTTACCCTGTTCTTCAGTGGTCAGGACCCCCATGGACCCTCACAGAGCAGGTACTATATGGGTGGTGGATCATTCTCAGCACTGCAGTGACACTGACGTGGTGGTGGTGTGTTAGTGTGTGTTGTGCTGGTCTGAGTGGATCAGACACAGCAGTGCTGCTGGAGTTTTTAAACACCTCAGTGTCACTGCTGGACTGAGAATGGTCCACCAACCAAAACTATCCAGCCAACAGCGTCCTGTGGGCAGCGTCCTGTGACCACTGATGAAGGACTAGAGGATGACCAACACAAACTGTGCAGCAGCAGATGAGCTATCGTCTCTGACTTTACATCTACAGGGTGGACTGACAAGGTAGGAGTGTCTAATAGAGTGGACAGTGAGTGGACACAGTGTTTAAAAACTCCAGCAGCCCTGCTGTGTCTGATCCACTCGCACCAGCACAACACACACTAACACACCACCACCACGTCAGTGCTAGTGCAGTGCTGAGATTGATCCAAAACACAAATAGTACCTGCTCTGTGGGGGTCCTGTGGGGGTCCTGAACACTGAACAACAGGGTAACAAAGTATGCAGAGAAACAGATGGACTACAGTCTTTAACTGTAGAACTACAAAGTGCTCCTGTATGGTCAGTGGTCACTGTCTGATAAGATGGTGTAGAAACAATTCTGACATCAGAATCAGATCAGTATTGGAAGACATTAGCTTAAAAATTGTATGGGCATCAGACAGATGTTCAGATTCGACCGGTGCTTAGGTGACCCTGGACTGCTGCACTGAAATACCTACATTTTATTCATTTGTAACTCTCAAAAATAAATATTATAATTCTCTATAATGCTAATCCAGTTCTCCTTCTACTCTGACAGACTGCTGAGAGAGTTCTGTGAGAATAGAGCTCAATAAGAAAAGATGAGATCTCACACTCTTCTTATGGAAATACTATTCAGCTGATACTGGGGTGAGATGAGTCAGTTCCACTCAGTGAGGGTTACCTGCAGTACCACTGGAACCAGCCATAAGGGTCCTGAGGCTTTATCCAGCCGCTGCTCTCCCACATCTCCAAACTGCCCCCACACTTCACTTTATAAGTGTTCACTTCCTCTCTGTACGTCGCTGAAGACACCTACGAAATGTATCACACAGTGGGTCACTGCACCGTCTCCACATACACGTATTTCTCAGGATGACACATCTAAAACATCTAATCCATGTGCTTTAGACTGTGACTGAAATGCCAATAATTATTAAAGTCAAACATGTTTTCAATGCTCATGAATCCTGTGTGAGACATTTTTATTATATTACGTCGTTCTGTTCCTCAACCCAGCATTAGCAACAAAGGCTTGCACTTTTGAACAGCTTAAACAGTTGCTACTTCAGTACACTAGGTGGCGCTGTGTGCCTTTTACCGTCAGGACTAAGAGGGAGAGTTAGGCCCAATCCCATTTCTTATTTTTACCCCTACCCCTTGTTTTCGAGTGTCTCCTTGCCCTTTGGAACAAGAATTACAAGAGGTAGTGGTTGAAATCTTCCCTCTGAAATGGGACCCTGAAATAAAAAGAGCATCACTTCATTAACAGCTACCAGCGCTGCTCTGTAGGCGACCCTGCCAGTCTGCAGTGACAGCAGAGGAGGGTAAAGTTCAGCTCCTCACTGCTGGGCTTTAGTTACATTTAGGGCATCATATGCCTTCAAGGGAGGGGGGGGGTGCAATTATGTATTACCACCCACCCCTAATTCTTCAGTGATATGAAGCTGAAGTCAGCCATTTGCAGATTACACCAAAATTCTTTGTTCTCTTTAGGGCTCAAAATACTATTCTCACATAAAATGGAGCATTAAGAAATGCATAACATTACTGACAATTAATTATGTTAATTATTTACATTGCATGCTACTGAATAGATAGATAGACAGATAGATAGATAGACAGATAGATAGATAGATAGATAGATAGATAGATAGATAGATCTTTGTCATTGTTTAAAAAAAACACAAGGACATAAATAAAATAGAAAATAAAGGTAAATAAGGCCAAAGACGTACAGATAAACACAATGAGATAGTATATACAGACATATTAGTGCAAAATGAAATGATATATAGTACAAGATGAAAAATCTCAGTCTTAGTCTTGGGGGGGGGGTTCTTATCAATCTGACAGCCTGTTGAAAGAAGCTGTTTTTTAATCTGTTAGTTTTTGCTCTGATTGATCTGAATCTCTTCCCGAGGGCAGGGGGGCAAACAGGTTATGTCCAGGGTGAGTGGGGTCCTTTGAAATAACGCTGGCTTTCATTTAAAGCCAGCCAGTGTAAATGTCTCTGAGGTGAGGTAGTGTTGTACACTCTGCCGCCCTCACCACCCGCTGTAGAACCTTTCTGTTCTCTTCTGTGCAGCTGGCAATCCACACCGCCCAGCAGTAGGTCAGCAGGCTCTGTATTGCTGACCGATAGAAGCTGGTCAGCAGGTGATTAGGGAAGTGATTATATGTATAGGAAGTTACAGTGTGGTAAACTATCACTCTGCTTTTAAAACTTTCAGTTTGAAAAGATTAACATCTAAACCGTGCAGACTAATTTGAATTGAAAGGGTCGAGAGACTCATTAACATCTAAAACATACAAGTAGAGTTTAACCCATTTTGCATTAGTTTGCATTGCTTAAAACAGAGTGATGAACGTTAGCTTACACGCGTCACTGTTAATCTTCCTTTAAAAACGTTTTGTTACCTGATTTATTTAAAATTCGAAGAGTTTGATATTGTTAAAAGAGATTAAATGCTTACTTGAGATATGTTAAAGGTCCAATGTTCCATATTTTCTAGTACTTTATTTTTTTGTGAATAAATATGATGTTTATATGGGTTTTTACAAAAACCAGCCATAATTCGTTTTTTTATGACCATTTTCCATCTTCTGTCTATCCCTAATAATTAAACAGGCTGTTTTGGTACTGTGCCTTTAAGACTGATATATGTAAATGGACTCTCTTCTGATTGGCTGCCCTGTCTTGTGTCTCTTACAAAAACCAGTCCATGATTAAACACTCTAACTACAGTATAAGTGGGCGGGGCTAGGCTGCTGTAGAGCGGGCAGATATATGCAAATGTCTTTGTTTTTGTGACATCACAAACACAGCTATTTCAAAACAGGCTGTTTTTGCAGCTTCATTTGCATATATAGAACATGGAAACATAATAATGTTTATATACTAGATAAAACAATTTTATTTTAAAAAAGATAAGTAAATTCAGTTTTACATGATTTGGTCCTTTTATTTAGGCTTTAGTTTTAATGTTATTGTATTGAATCAAATGGGCATTGCCACAGTATATAACAGCACACTTCATATACGTGTCAGAATCAAAATACTAGTATTATAACAATCCTAACTGCTCAGCCCCGAGGCCTTTTAAATGAAGCTGATCTGCAGTGCAATTCAGGAGATTTTCATTCATCATGAAAGCAGCAGTTCCCAGCACTGACAGAACCGCTCATGCTGAAGATTTGTGATGTACAACTGCAGAACGACTATCTGGGGGCATTTCATTCATTTATATACGACAGATAATACAATAAGTTTATATGTTCATCTCAGGCAGTGCTAAATCTGGAACCCCGTCTGCGGGACTGAGCTGCAGTTCTGGTTTCCTTTTTCTTTTGCAGAACAGAAAATAAAAATTCCAGGGAAGCAAACCCATTAAACAAGTACTTGTTTTGGCTTTCCACACAACTTGGCTTTGACCTTGCTGAACCCACAGCAGCACAGCAGACTGTCTGAACAGCTCAGATGTTGTGTGCCTGTGTGATGTGTAATAAAAGAGGTAATAAACCGGCTCCTCGCGAGCGCCAGATCTTACGGTTGGCATCACTTGACGTAATGGGTGACTGTGACCCCGATGACGCACTTACAGCAGAATCTCGCCTTGCATAACCTCAGCTCTGACATAAAGAACATGACAAGCTGTAGAGCTGTTTCATTTAAAGGGACGGTGAAAAATCTGTTACTCCAAATGTATTTAATCAGCCGAGACATGTTTGGTGTCTCAATGTGCTTCTTTAGTTTTTGCTCTGGAGCTACAAGGTTAATGTAGCAGGTAACGGAAGCACATGTGCTCCATATCAGCACTCTGTGGTTCTACTGGCTTAGGTTTAGGTTTAGAGCTTAGGTTCTGTGGCTGCTACTGTGTTCAGCTAGGCAATGTACTTCACTCCCATATTAATAGATAACACTATCATACAGTGTCAGAAAGTCTATTAGAGATCACTGAACAGCTCAGCACGGTTTAAGGAAAGTGTGTGGTGATTTAGTTAGGCCTGTGTCCGGTGCACCACAAAACCCTGAAAACAGCTGCCAGTGACGGCAGAAAGTAATTTACTGCAGGTTTAAAAAAAAATAATTGCTCGTTTATTGATTCGTCTTTTAAACCACAGCAAAACCCTAACATTCGCACAAGTGAACATAACTAAACTTTTAAACATGCCGACGTGACTGAGCTGCACGATGCCTTTAATTAGCTGTGCTTTGTGAATGATTCACCTGTAAGACGCGACAGAAGCTGAGAGACGAGAGACACACAGACCTTTAATTCAGTGTTTTCACTCCAGGCTTGGAGCCGCTGCACTGTACAGTTTAGGGTTTCTCTCTGCTGTTCACCTCGTTCAGCTCAAGAAGGGATTAATTAGCTAATAATATCAGGTATTTTAACCAGGAAACCACAGTTATGCAGTGCAGGGGTTTCAGGACTGGAGCTGAACTCTGAACTAACTGCACCAGCAAACTTACAGAATCACGTCTGTCGAAACACGACGTCGTTTTCCGACCCACGACATTCAGTCTGATATTTAACGTTTATGTTTCTCCATTCAAACGTCATTTAAATCAGAAACAGAGAGTAAAGTTATACCGGCTGTCTGCAGCTCCATTAGGGGGATGACTGTTTATCTCTCAGCTGATAACATTAGCTAAAGTTATCTAAAGGCCAGCATTGATCACATCTGTGTTAATTAGCTGATGTCTTTCCTCCTATGATGACAGTTTTTCTCCTCTTTATGTAACATCATCGGATCCTTTACCCACCCTGACGTGAAGAGCCGGTGGGCTTCTGTGCTTTTAAATGCTTTGAGAGTCTCCAGAACAGGGAGAGGGGCTGAGTATGAGATAAATATAAATGTCAGGAAAACACAAATTTGGTAGCTTTCCGCCGGTGTAAGTAGAACCAGGAGTTCAGGGGAAACTGTATAAATATAGTATATAAACTGTATTTTATCGACTTCGTCGAGGAAACGTTTTTATCTTCCAAAGTAAGGAGAGTAATTTTAGCCGTATTTCACCTCTAGTTATGTTCGTGCGGAGCAGCGGAGCCAGAAATACGGTCCCAAATATGGAGACCACAATAGAAAAATCACATGACTGAAACTCTAGGATATTTATACCACATTTATTGTACCTAGAACCAGAATGCGCTCTGTGCAGCAGGCAGATATCAGTCTGTATCTGTATAAGAACCCATCTTTGGTGCACTGTAACTCACAGACGTTTGCGTTTATTTTAATGGGTGTTATTGTTATCATTATGGTACAATACTGTACGTTACTATAACTAATTGAACTAGTGAAACTGTTGAATTACAGTAAAAGGCAGCATTTCTAAGATATTACATTTTTACCATCATTGAGAAAACATACTTTTGTTTCATACTTCAGCAGATGAAGCTGTTACTGCAAAGGTCTAGATTTAGACACAGAGATAGTACGATGCTAACAGGTGAGCTTGTTCGCTACATTAGCCTCGCAGCTCCAGCGTAAAAGAACGTCCATGTCTTGGTTGACTGACTACATTTTGGGTTAACGGGGTAACTGTGTTGGTATTTGACCAAATTATTCCTTTAAGATGAGAGACATACACACGCGTACGTATTCTGAGACTTAGCACCGTTGGATTCTGGACATTCGGACCCCGAAAACCTAAGAGAACCCTTAGGAGCTTCAGAACCCTTAGCGGTGGCATTAATAACCATGACAACCCTCAGGAGCTATCGCCATAGCAACAGTGAACATACTTCCCCAGGACGAGGAAGGGGAACCACGGAGAGAGGAGATCAAATTCTTCCTTCACTAATGAGCAGGATCTCCTTTGTCCTTTCCAAAGATCTCTAACAGCTGTGTAGCTGGCAGGGATCAAACCCACAGTCGGCCGAAATATGACGCGACCTGCTTTTTAGGCAGGAGCTGTAGTGACTTTGTTAGAGTTTTCATCACAATGGCTAATGTATATAAAGTCCACTAGGGGTGGGAATCGCTACAGGCCCGACAACATGATACCATCAAAATCACTGAGCCACAGTCTGATTCTCTTGGGCAGGAGAGCAAAGAAAAGAGTTTTTAATCACTATTTCTCATTTTCAGTGCCATCTACATTATCTGGTAACAGATGCTAGATTCTGACACATCGCTGTAGATGTGTTTATTCTTTTACTTTTCCAAATGCTCAGTTTTACAGCGGCATATAGTGATATACTGCGGTTTATTCCACTAAAAAAGTGGTGCGTCCATCAAATCCACACAAATGAAATATATGTCACATCAACCTAAGTACTTAAACACAGTCATTATGTTGCTGTAACATATTTCATCATGCAGAGCCAAAGCACACATTTGAATAAAGCAAATTTAAAGCAACCTTTAACCTTTTCAACCCCTTGAGACCACCGGTGGATCCAAAATGCACTTTGTCATGTTCTTCATAACTTTCATATTTCATAAGCTACATTCAAAAGGTGGGGGTCGTATGAGAGCTGGAACTGTCTTCTTTCCAGTCAAATAGATGGGTGATGTAATTTTAAACCCTTATCATAAAAGAAGCTGACTTTTTCTACTGAAAGTCGACCCATTTTTCCACAAATCTGGGCTATAAACTATAAACAGACGGCGTCTCTTCAGTGATCTGCTCTGTACAAATTATTTTTATAAAATAATACAAAAAGCGTTTTTGGCTTTCAGCAGTAAATTGTAAGCATATAGCAATATGTGTGATCATGAAACACTTTCTGCTAATTTGAGGGGAGCTTTTACAAATAAATTAATAAAATAAAAATTTACATTTATTAAATGCAGTTACTGAATAATTTGCCTTACGATTTGATCATGTAAATTCAGATGGAAAAACCAAAACATACCCTGGTCAATAAGATTAAGCAACTTTTTAAAAGTGAAAATTATTCCTCCAAAGTTTATACTTTCAGAACTGTACAGCAGACGAGTCAACATTAAAAACGTAATATATTTACATATTTAGCGAATGCTTTCATTTGTAAAGCAGACAAATAATCCTCAGCCCTACCACTTAGCCCTTAGCCCTCCGTTTAGCGCTTTCACGTCTAGGGGTAAGGGGTCCCGATTCTTGTTGAGATAGAGGGGTAGGGTGAAGTGTTAGGGCTACATGACCCTCTAAACGGAGGTTTTTCAGAGATTCCAAACAGAGAGTTATGAGAAAAAAAGAAAAATTAGCAAAATGGCTGAACAAGAGACCAAAGAAACCCACAAATGTGAAAATACTCCTAACCTAATACGAAAACGATAGCTAATACCGTTGTCTTGGTAGCTAGCTCACTAAATGTCCCGTTCCATCTTAAATAGTCCAGCAGTTACATTCTGGATTAGGCAAATTAGCCTAGTAGACCAACCAGGAAATCTGTTTGCAGCATGGAATGTTTAACTAGTATTTCCCCATGAATTAAATTACAAAAAACTAAAAAAGATCCTGTTTTTAAGTTTGTATATGGTTTTCTATTCAATTTTCACTGATTTTCATTCCTTTTTGTATCTGTGTATTTTGCTACATGACGCACGAGGAAGAAATCGGCGTCCGGTCTATTATCTAAATACCGCGACGCTTCAGTGCGGCGTCTGAGACACTTTGAGCGCCAAAATGAAAAGCATGACTTTCCGTGACACTCATGCCACGCAGACACTGTATGTGTGAATCAGGCCTTAGAGATGATGGGAAAAAGGTCACGGTACTTTTGCAGTGTTCATTGGCACTAATTTCAGGTTAGGAGCTGCACTGACATGATGGTGCATGCACATTTAAAAAAACACATGAATTACGAACTGAGCGTTCTCAATAAGGTCGCATGGCCTCGATTCAAGTATGTATCAATCTAGGACCACATATGAAAGTGGCTCAGATCAGACTAAAAAGATCAGATTTGTGTGTCCACACTTCTCTGAAAACACCAAATCTCAGCCCAGTAATGTGAACACAGCCTTAGAAATATCAGGTGAAGCTGCATCGTTTGACTATATTGCAGCGACAGTATTTCAAAGTGTCCATGATAACACTACTGTACTGATTTAGTATTGCTGTATTCTGAACTACTGAATACTGGCACATCTACTGCGTAACTAACTAATGCTATCTAACCCTGCTAACTGTCCCACAGCTGACTGCACATCTTTTCCTCCCTCTCTATGTAGAGGGATAAATGCACACAGTGCCACCTAGTGCTGAATGATTAATTGTTTCTTTTTTTCTTGTAATCAAAATTTATCACAGAGCAATTATTTAAAAATGTCTCGAGTTTTAAGTGTGAAAATTTTACCCAACAACACAGAGCTTGTGAACTGCCTGTAGATAAGTTAGCCCAATCAGACGGCAGTCTTGCACACTACATTCAGGGTTCAAGTCTAAGCCAGAAAAGGTGGATATTCTGGGCTTCCTGGCCAAAAAAACAGGCCTGAACCTTAAATTATAGAAAGTAATCCAAATTTAAATCACAGGTCACAATATTACTCAGAAAAACTGCAATTAGATATTTTGCCTGAGTGGTTCAGCCCTAGCGCCACCTAGTGTACTAAAGTAGCAGCTGTTTAAAATTCCCATGGCTGCAGCTAATACCGGACTGAAAATGTGAAAACAGCAGGAAAAAAACAGAGAAAAAGAAATCTCCATTCAGAGAAATGACATGTTAGGTGACTTTACTTGTTTGGGGATGTCGAGTCCTTGGAGCCAGTCTTGAGGAAGCTCTTTCCACACATCCTTATAGTGCTGCTCTGTAACACACAGTAGCTTGATTTAGATCATTCTCATTATTTTTTTATTGCTAATGCCTGCTCTGCTGTAGTGGGCTGAGGCATTGACACTCTCAGCCTCTGCTACTGTCATAAATTAACTTATAAAGAGCCCTTATCCTATAGTTTTCTTGTACCTTTGGTCTGTGTACCATATTTATCTTTATATGATTATTTTTCAACCTCTCTTTTTCCCTTTATAGAATCCTTCAGACTTAAACAGGCTGTGTATGTTACTGTGCCTTTAAGACTGACTATCATCAGCATGAATGGGCTAAAATGGAGTTAACATGCAGAGACTGAATAAGCAGACGTATGTAAATGTGCTGGTTTTGAGAAATCACAAAAACGAAGAATTCAAAACAGGCTGTTTTTGCAGTTTAGTTCCCATAGCTGGACTGTCTGGACTGAGTGAACAGTCCATCTGAGACTACATATATATTTATTTTTATATACTAACGCAGACTGCAAAAAAGCAAAGAAGGTTTATTTATTGGCCCCTTTAACTTTTCAGTTTCTCCAAACAAAAATCACTAAGTCTCCAGCACATATGCATCATATAGATCTGCCTTTTGGAGCTGAGAAGTGAAGCAGAGTCAGGATCTCAGCCAGAATAAGTTTGAAACTATGGCTTACTGGTGATGCTAGAGTAGATGGGTCTGAAGTAGGTTCCACCAAAACTGCCTGCCTGCAGCACCTCCTTTGGGCTCATATTGGGCTGGAACTCTGGGTGATCTGAAAGCAAGAGAAGGAAAGTTTGTTATAATTTGATTTATAGCATGGATAGTTCTGGTCCTAAAATCCGAGGGGCAAAATAAAACATTAAAAATGTCCCTTGAGTGTCTGACACGCTTGAAATGTTCATGTTTCAGTCAGAAGTCAAGTCAAACCCAGACTGAACCCCAAACGGCTCTGTACTCCCTAAATAGTGTTCTAGCTATGAAAGTTTAGAAATTCTAGCCTCTACAGTGTGGATGTGTCTGAATCCCAAATGACTGTTTCTTAGCTGTATTTTACTCTGTTGGGCTGCAGGATCCAGTATTTAAACTCCTACGTAGTGCACTATGTAGGGAGCAGAGAGCTATTTGAGATTCAGCCCCAGCACAAGACGAGAGGCGCCGTTGGACTGGTGCTAAATAAGACCCGCGGTGGTAATTTGGTGACCAAAAAGTACTTATAAAGCAAAACCTTTCACTTTACACACTGCTGTATTATCATATGTTCATTGTTATACAACAAAAAGTTAAGAAGTTCATGAAATGACTGCAATATACACCATGGTTGCTTGGCAACAACAATAATGTTGATTATTATTAACAATAACTTAAATTATTTCTGAAAAAGTGTGCATTTCATCATATTTTATGTTGGCCGCAGTTTTATAAAAGCAATAAGCCACTTGTGTTACTGCGATTTTATCACAGGGAAGGGAGTTTCACTCCATTTTGGTCGTGCCTAACAACACCCTATTCTGTGATAAAACTGCAGTAACGCACAGCCTCGCATGGCTTATTGCTTTATTGACTCATTTCTCACTTATAGCTCATTGAAACAAGTGGAGAAAGTGCGGAAAGTGAAGACTCTAAACTGTCAATACATACCATGTTTATGTTTGCAAGTAGAAGAAAAGATAATTTATTTTGATTTGAATTTGACAAAAATATATTGTTGAAAAAATATTGTTCAATTTTTTTACATTTTTGTCAAATCTTAATACCTAAACAAATATAAGACAGAACTGAATACTTTACAGTCAAATTTACAGAATGTAAACTGAATGTAAATGTAATAATGTAACTATGTAATTAATTTGGTAACTTTCATACTATTCAAAAGTCAGAGACCCTGACTGTGGGGTGGTCAGTCCATTGTTCAGCTTCTTTGTTTGATGTGTCCGTCTCCTTTTCTCAGTGAGGTTCTTCTTGACAGCTACACATCCTTTCAGACCCACAGCGCTGAGTCGTCTTCTCACAGTGGAAGGATGGACAGAAACACCTGTGGAAGTTTTCAGATCTGAAGCAGCTTGATTTTCTCCTCTCTCTCAAACATGAAAGCTTTAAGTGCTGTTTATCTGATGGGGCAGTTTGGGGATCTACCAGGTCTTCCAGGTGGTTGTTAGGAGACTAATTTTCTCTGTAGCTTTTAATAATTTTTTGAACACCAGTTTTGGAAACTCCTGTTTTTTTTCCATAGAACTTGTCCTTGGCTGTTCTTAGTAGAAATTAAATACATTCTGGTTGGTCTGATTTTTGTTTTGATTTCTGTATGTAATTAAATAAATACAAAATTAGTACTGGCTAAAAATATATTTGACAAATCTGACATTGTTTGATTGGACTGTTTTGTTCCATTTTCTTCTATTAGGCATGTTCACATTTGGTAGGTGTAGTTCTTTTTAAATGCATCCCAGTGAGAAACTGCCACTGGAACCCAATAATGGGGGACAAGACTCCTGAGGAAGGCACCAATCTGTGTCTGCAGAGCTTCTCTGGTTCCTGCAGCAGATAAATCCATGACACTGTTTCGACACGTGCATATATTTTATCATTTCTTTGTGAGGTTTGCAATGGTAATTACAGAACAGATGGGTTCAGGACGTTGTAAAATGCTCGATATTGACATATAATCGCCCACATCAGCTTTATGGATGTATTAATGTACCACATTTTCACTGTTTACAAAAGCAGAAAGACACTCAAGGATATGCTACAGCTGTTTCACCCAGCTTAGCATCATGGGAAAATGCACATCCTCCTTCATTCATCACAAGACAGGCATAAAAGCCACAAGCTCAGTCTGGCCAGAGTACAGCATGATTCAGAAAGTTTGTTCTCCCAGTTATTGCCTCCAAATGTTCGTCATAAATCTGCCCAGTCAGGTGTGATTTTGTGTCCATGTGACTTCTGTTTACATCTGTTGGTTAGACGTTAAATGTCAGTGTGAACGCTCAGCGAACCTGAACTACAATGCAGCTATTTATCTTTTTCTGCTTTGGTCCAGACCAAAGAAACCAAACAACACACCCTTAAGCTGTTTTCACACAACCTTTTTTGTTTTTTTACCTTGTTTGGCTGATTTCACACCTAGTTTGTTTGCCTAAGAGTTTGGGTTTGTGTATCTTCTTCATTTGGTTTGGTTGATTTCACACTGCAACAGGTAAATTATACACGTGAGTGGTTGCTTATTGATGAGAATTTTTGCAGGGATACTCTGTTACCACCAATTGAGCCACTCTGCATGAAAATAGAGGCACTTTATGTCTTTATCACAGTCAAAGCAATAATAATAAACGTTACTTGATATCTGCTTCTTTACAATTGGTCAATTTACGGTACGCTCCATGTTCCGAGTGCCAAAATCAAAGCCACTACTTCGCTATTATTTCATAAAAGTCAGTACAGCGCCAACATGCTGCTAGAAGAAGCAGAAAAGCATGATTTGACATTTTTTCCCTCATTTGTTGCAGACCAGTCGCCTCACAGCAAGAAGGGCCTGGGTTTGATTCCCCGGCCGGGTGACCAGCGTCCTTTCTGTGCGGGGTTTGTATGTTCTCCCCGTGTCTGTGTGGATTTCCTCCCACAGTCCAAAGACACCTGGACAGTCAGGACAACTGGACATGCTAAATCACACCCTAGGTGTGAATATGTCTGGACTGGCAACCTGTCCCGGGTGTTTCCTGCCTTCTGCCCTATGACCACTGCTAGGATAGGAGGATAAGTGGCTTAGAAAGTGTTTGTGTGGTGCCACATCAAATCATGCTTCTCTGCTTGTTCTAGCAGTACGTCAGCACTGTAACGTCTACATAATCTGCCTGTTTTATAAAATAATAGCAAAGCAGTGTCACATGGAACATGTGCGTATCGCCTCAGCGGTTCCTAGGCGACTCACGGTGCAAAATATGGAGCTTTGAAATCAGATTAATCTTTTTGAATCACCCTGTAAATAATAGTTTATAGTATTATTATTGCTTTGACTGTGATACACATAGACATCAAGCATCTCTATTTTCATGCGAAGTGGCCCAAATGGTGGTAAATGTGAGAGCAACAGAGCGTACCCTGCTAAAATTCTCACAAATAAGCAAGTATGCACACTTATAATTTACCTGTTGTAGTGTGAAACTAAAACATCACAAAAACGTGATCCCACCAGCAGCAAACTGGGCTGATTTGTTTGGAGCGCACTTGAGTGTTCACACCTGTCAAACTAAAGAAAAAAGTCAGATACTAAACACGTAAGGTGTGAAAGCGCTCTTAGCTCACGTTCCTGGTCATATTAAGCACTTTTAATCACAATTCAACAACACTTAAAAGTCGACAAGTCTTGTTTTTTCTGTAACCTTCCATCATTAATGGAAGAACTTTTGCCCTGCCTTCACTTCTACTGCTGCACTTCTCTCCTGCAACAGCACTTTATCATTCAAATTAGATTTTTATTTAAATTTATTGTTTTAATCATGTTTTAATTTCCATTCTCCTTTATTCAAATTTCCTCTTTTGTAAAGCACTTTGAATGACCACAGTGTATGAAAGGTTCTCTATAAATTACTACCGCCTCAAAAACGTTCTTTTTGATGACGTCATTGTGCACCAGGGGGCGGGGCAAAATAATATTACCAGACATCATGTTTTACCTCCACCTCCCACCACCATTACCTATCATGGAGAGAAAACACTCAGCTAGCTCAGAGACTCTCCCTGATACAGAGCGTCACGTATGGAATGAGAATGAGCAATGATTTCCCAACCACTGACTTTCTAATTACACCAAAAGGAAACGCTCTATTCGGACTGGATTAATCAGCAGGATGTCAGAAAAAATCCAAAGTCTCCTCAGTGATAAAGCTCTTTTTTTGCGGTGTGATTTCAACGATCTTGGATGTTTGCGTCACACACAGTCATATGATGGTGAAAAGCTGATATTGTGCCTGTTAAGTAACGTTTGGATGATATTCTGTAGCTGCATGTGAATACAAAGTTCTTTATACATGCAGCTGCCATTATAATCACCCCTTTAATCAGCCTGGGAGATCTTGCTTCTCTGATAAGACTTTCTTGTTTCTCCTCCTACTAATAATGCTCTCCCAGTGTAGAGAGGATAGAAGCAAAATTACTAACTAGAAGACTAAACATAGTGAGTTGCAGAGGTCAGAAAACTGTTTTTTTCAACACAATCTGCCCTGAAAAGCGCAAAATAGAGAGATTTGTATTTAGCAGACATTTTTTGTATTCACATGCAGCTAAGTTTGGTAAAAAACAGCAGGTAAATCAGCCTATAATTTTCTCAGGGAAGCAAAATCACAGAAGAGCAGCTGTAATAAGAGAAAATTACCCAGAGGACCTCAAGTACATTTAATCTCAACTGAATATGGCTTTACACCATATTATATATGTTAACCAGACAGAAACTACATCTCAAACTATTTGTTTAGCTTTTATGTATTTTGAACTGTTTACACTTTTGAGCAGTTAATGAGATACTAAAGGAATAAGCCACGAGAGGCTGTGTGTCACTGTGATTTTACTACAGGGAAGGGTGTTGTTAGGCACGACGCAAAGTGGAGTAAAACTCCCTTCTCTGTGATAAAATCACTGTGACGCACGGCCTCAAGTGGCTTATTGCTTTTATAAAACGGCGGCCAGCATAGAATATGACAAAACACTGAATTTTTCAGAAAATAATTCAAGTTATTTTCAATAATAATTGACAAACAAGTATTCTGCCAAGAAATGTAGTTCCTTTAGTGTACGGTATTGTTGCCAAGCAACCATGGACCGCTGAATGAGGAGAACGTTCGGCCGCCCATTGCTGTATATTCCAGTCGTTTCATGAATTTTTAAACTTTCTGTTGTATTACAATGAACATATAATAACACAGCACTGTTTAATGCAAACACTTTTGCTTTAGAAGTACTGTTTGGTCACCAAATTACCACCGCGAGTCTTATTTAGCACCAATCCAGCAGCGCCGCTCTTCTCAAACTGGGGCTGAATCTCAAACGGCTCTCTGCTCCCTACATAGTGCACTACGCAGGAGTTTAAATACTGGATCCTGCAGCCCAACAGAGCAAAATACAGCTAAGAAATAGTCATTTGGGATTCAGACACATCCACACTTGATAAATGATGCACTGTTTGGCTGTAGAGGCAAGAATTTCTAAACTTTCATAGCTAGTACACTATTTAGGGAGTACAGAGCCGTTTGGGATTCAGTCTGGGTTTGACGCGACTTCTGACTAAAACATATGAAGCATGCAAGACATTGAAGACACATTTTTAGTCTTTTATACTGGGGTTTTACAGTTAATTATACTGTAAGTGCTTTAATTCAAGCCTGTGACATTAATGATGGAGTTGTTTAGGCTGTTGGCTCTTTTAGCCTGTTAGCTAGCTGACCAGCCTGGTTCTAGTTAAGACCATAAGCTGCCAGCCCCTCAGTTTATACATAAAAACGAGTTCTTACTCCATCAGTACTCGGTGCTCCATGTGAGCAGCATTACAGTCAAAGATTATTCTATTAACAGCTCAAGGGTTTTTTCATGCCGTGGTGCAGTGATACAGAGTTCAGTCGCTGTGAGGTGGTCATAAGTGTGGGTATATCGTGGATTTTACAATCCATTTTAAAATCAGATTTTAGGACCGGAACCATCCGTTGTATAAAACACAGTTAAGTGAGGTTTTGTTTGCTACCTTCAAAAACAAGCTGTCCTTTTTTGTTTCTTTTCACTTCAGAGGCACTTTTGGATCCACCAGAACGTTTCCTGTTGTTCTCCTGGGTGGTCTTGTGCACACTTTTCTTCCCACCAGCTTTTCCCTTCACTCCTTTAATGCTTCCACTTGACCTGGATGCACCTTTAAGCCTGGAAGCTGAAATAAAGACCAATTAAAGAAAGAGAAAAAACAGAAAAACGTGGAAAATAGAAAGATCAAATCAGATAAACGCTGACAAACTCCCAACTCGGCTGGTGTAAACATCCTACATGTGATTTCACTCTCTGAACATTTCAAAACCAAGTATTGCACTCAGAACAGTGAGGGGTTTAAACTCTGTTTTGGTGCAGGTGGGCTTTTTAAAGAGCAGCGCAGTGATAACATCATTATCGGTTAAATCTACAGGTCCTGCTGGAGGCCGCGCTCAAAGGGATACTTTGGCCCAGCATCTTTTTGGAAGTTCAAGGATGCTTTTATGTGACATCAAACAGTGGATGAGAAGCTAAACAGCACAGCCACAGATATCGATCTAGCCCAGTTTAATCTGGCTGTATTTCATACACTTCAGCTGTTCATTCTCCCCCTCATTAACTTTTAGAAAGGAAACTGTTTTTCAGGAAAAGGTTTTAATGCTCTGCTACAGTGGTTCTCAAACCACGGCAATCCAAATGTTAAGAAGAGCCATTTATGTCCTTTCAAAATCAAACCACTTTGGGAGCCACAACATTTTATGTCCATTTTATCATC